GCACGCTCTAGAGTGGCAGGCCACTTCATCCTATCTGACTCACTACAACAACCAAACACAGCTCCCAAACCAGCGGACAAGCTCCCTCCACACAACGGAGCCATCCTAATCATCAGCTCCATTCTACCCATGGTGCTTGCCTCAGCTACGGAAGCAGAACTGGCAGCTCTATACTACAATGCCAGGGAAGCTTGCACAATCCGCACAACCTTGGACGAAATGGGCCACCCACAACCAGCCACCCCGATCCAAACCGACAACGAGGTGGCCGTTGGACTCGCCCTTAACACAGTCAAACAACGACGATCCAAAGCAATCGACATGCGCTTCTATTGGATCAGAGATCGCATACAACAGGGCCAATTCCTAGTATATTGGCGCCCTGGCAAAGAGAATGATGCTGACTACTTCAGCAAGCATCACCCGACAGCTCACCACATTCTCAAACGCGCACGCTATCTCCAGCCCATACCTGAGTAGAGGCTGAGGGTGTGCTGATTCCGGCCGTCTGACCGTCCACCGTCAACCGGAATCTAGCCTCCACTCATCTACAGATCCAGAGACAACAAAGTAGCTTTTCCTCATAATCTTATAACATCATTCGTAATACATCTATCGCTACCTTTAGTCTCTTCAACATGGTGAAGGGGCTTGTTAGCAGAACTGACAGGGAGAGTGTGGATCTTGGGTCCAAATTGCATATGCGTATCACCATCTGCATGTGGAAAGGGACCGCACTCGAGACAAATAGTTGGGCCTTATAGTTGGTTCACTTGATATCTGGTCTGCCGAGACTAGTCTTTGGTTAACATGAGGTTGTCAAGCCGAATAGCGGCATCCACGTGTGGATTCAGTGTCAAAGAACAATGCAAGGCCTTTGATTTTGTACAAAGTTCTGCAACCAAGCAATTCAAGTCCACTTCGCACCTCAAGTCCACTTCGCACCTCAATCATGCTCAGTTTATCATCTCTGGTTGTACACTGTAGTCTTCTTGATCGGGAATTGGCTGGGAATTGGCTGCCCAGTTTGCTCGTTGAAAGTGACGAGTTGACCCCTGCTCCCTTACCGATACTAAGTTATCTTCTGGAAAGTTAGGTGGTTAGAACGAGCCGCAGGAACGTTTTTCAAGTCTTGTGTTGGTGGAACAAGTGGCGAAATTCTGGGAAAATACAACACGTTCCTCGTTTCTGAATAATGTTGTTGATATTGGTGGAGGCATTGTGGCATGTACAGAATACAGTGGATTGTGGCGAGTTGTTCCCAAATTTCCCATCGAAATGATATGGCTTGAAGTTTATAGAAGTCGTCCAGCACAGACCTTGTACCCAATCAATGGGGATAGCGTACTTGTGCAAGTATGACTTTGCGATCTGAAACTCAGCCCTTCCTTCATGGCGTTGTACCATCCTTTTGTGAATCTGACGCCAGCGGTCACACTTTGGGCGCCAGAGGACCCACATCCCGTCTAGTTTGCTCGTCCAGACCCCCCAACAGCGCAGCTTTGTCTTCATAGCGTGAGCGGAGGTCAAGTTTCGCATCTAGAGTTTTCAGTCATTGGTCTAACTTGTCGATGGACCAATTCTGGGTGGCAAGTGCATCCGGTCTGGGGCATTCTAGCTAGCGTTGGGGGTAGTGGTTCATTGTGTGTGGTGAATCCAATCGTTGCTGCATATGTGGCTGTATGAATGGTCACACCATGCGAAAGCTGTCTTTGGTTGTGGTCAGCCATCACTGTCTGCCCTTCAACTTTCCGACCTTTAAAAAGGTGGTAATCTAGTCATGAGGTCGGGTAGCATGAATCCCGTGAATGACATCGCCCACAATTGTACTGGTACCAAAAACTGGCAACAACAGTAACGCATGCCTTTTGCTGAGTGCTCTAGAGGTACGGTACCGGTGATGAGGCCGCAAAAAGGTGCGTGGGTGATTGAGTGGAGTCGGCCTGTCTAGACACACCTTGAGCACCATGCCAAAGAAAGATTTCGCTTGCAGACGAAGGAGCAACCAAAGACTCCACAGAAGCTGGTGTTCTCGTGCCGCTCGATATGCATCCTCTGAGCCATGCATCTTTGATGATGGAGAGACTTCCGTGCCCATCGAACCCAACATCGCAGCGAGGCCTGCTTCGGCAGTCGCCTAAACCACGACAGCTAGCTATCCAGGAATAACTGAAAGTGATCTTGACTTGGTTGCCTACTCGCTAGCTAGCCAGCCAGCCATGCGAAGCGACACGGACATGATTTCTGTTTTGTTGACGAAGGAGGCGAAGACCTTCACCTTTGGCAGGTCGGTGGGGGAGAGCAATAAAGCTTCACATAGGATAGAAGACTATAGAAGTAACCACTGGTTTGATTGAGAGAACCATGAACGTGCTTCTTTTGTTTCTTGCGTGGAGGGACCTCATCAACACACCTGCCCTTCTTCTAATGACGAAAGGCGACTGTGATTTCGCAATCGGCCACTTCAGAAAAAGAAGGGTGAGTTGATGCATAATAATGCATGCCCAGCACCGTTGTCTTCACGGCTTCACCATCAAAGCTTTAGCTGGGCTTTTGGGCTAAAGCATGGCTTGGCCAGTTGCGACAGGTGCCTCCGAGATTGACAGCGTCGCCATCAGAATAGAGATGTCTGAGCTGGACCCGTCAGCCATGCGAGCAGTCAAGACTTCAAAGAGAGAACCTTGATCGACACGTAAGCTGGGTGACAACATCAGCTCATTCGTTCAGGATGTTAAGCCTTTGCTCCTTTTGCATGTTCGCTGGACGCTTTTAGACGCAAAAGAAGGGTCAAGGAACAATTACGCATTTTAGCTACAGCTCCTACTACTAGCCACATCGATAATATCAATTAGCTTATCAATTAATTAATTCATAATTCATAACGCTTGCCACGAAGGCGGTTCGTGCAGCCTTTGGAAACCTGTTCTCGTACCAGTATTGCATGAAAGATTCAAACTCCCCATCGAGAAGAGAGCTTGAGAATTCGCAAAAAATCGTTTGATGAATAGATTGACCCTCTGAGAAGTGCTCCTTTTTTAGGTTGAAGTTGAAAGTCATGAGCCTGTTCCGCTGCCTTCTTCTTCTTCTCTTTCCAAAGCGCTGGATAATTCGCTCTGCTGGTTGAGCTGCTGGGTGCGAGTTGCTACTGTACCTTTGCGATCCAAACAGCTAGCTAGCCAAACAGTTACAGGTACTCAGTACTGAGTACTCCGAGTACACTGTACTCAGTATTACCAGTGCCAGCTGCTAATAGCTATGATACATGTATCATACAGTACATGTAGAACTCATGCTATGTAGTACCACCATACCAACCAGTACATGTACTGATCTGTCTTCCAATGCTGTAAACAGCTGGGTAGACTACTGGCATGGCAACGCTGAGCAAGCTGACCTGTACCGTAGCGTATGCTATTAGGTACCAGTGTACTCTACTCAGCACTATTAATAGTAGTAGGATCCTACAAAAGAGCGATCTGGTTCGATCTTCCGGTACTGAGCGACCCAGACAATACTGGTAACTTCTTGGTAAGTTACTTATCGGCCTGAAAAAGCTTCTAACCAAGCACAACGCAAAGAAGACTTCGCTGTTTTTATTGCTCTGAGAGGGTAGTCTACAATAAGGCTCAGCAGATCTCATCAGCTTCTCATCTTCTCATCACTCATCACAGTCCATCAGCAGTCAGCAAACAGCTTTGGAAGGTCACTTTTGGCAAACTTCAAGTCAGCGATGTCTGCTCAGATTTCTGAGTAGGATGTGCACGTAGTCAAAGTACCAGAGAGACACAGCTTACAGAGCTTACGCAACTGCTTGTGCAGCGGGTGAACTGGCGAACAACTCAGACACTACACTGTGTGGTGGCTGCATTGAGCTACTGGTACCAGTAGCTATTGATCTACACCGTACCGTATACCGTACCGGTACCAGGAGAGTAACACAGTATCCGCGTACTCCGCGTACTAGTATTCGCTGCGTGCCACTCTCGTGTGAAAGCTGTGTGAACCTGGGGGATTGAGCTGGGGATTGCCACTGAATCTGGGGGATTGGCACTGTGAACATTGTGTAGGCTTGACTGAAACAGCGAAGCTCAAAGACACCTTTCACAAACCAGAAATGAACCCAGTTCTCTACCGGATTGAGGTCCAGGCCTTTGCGAACCGTACACTCTGGTACTAAAATCACCGTAGCCCATCCCGCTATGTTTGATAGGGCTCTTCGTCAGCATCTGTTCCACGCAAGAAGAAGCGCTGAAGACAGCTATGCCAAATGCCATGCCAAATGCCAATGCAGCCATCAAGCATCGAGCTCAGCTTGTCTCTCTCTGTTCTCACAATTTGATCATCTCACAAATCAAAAACAACAACAAACCAAAACACAAACATCACAAACACAAACTACACAATGGCTTCTATCAAGAACTGCATCGACTGGAACACTAACGCTGTTGCCTTGACCCTCGCCGGACGCAAGGACGAAGCAATCAGCACTATCAAGAAGTCCCTCAAGGTCCTCGAAACACTCTTCAATGCTTCCAAGCAAGGAATGGAAATCCCTGAACTTCAAAGCACGTCTTCACAACAGAGCAGCTATCAACCACCTGTTGTCAGTGTGCCCATTGCCACTTCCACCAATGTTAACTCTCCCGCCAACCTCTTCACATTCTACCCTCGCATGTTCCGCATTACCAGCGAGGCCAAGGATTTGAGCATCTCCAAGATCTTGGTTGTCCTCTTGTACAACTTGGCCGTCGCCTCTCACATGGACGCCATCACAGAAGAGATCCCTGATCCACAACACTTGAAGAAGGTCTTGGAATTGTACGAGACTGCCATGCGAGTAGCACACACCAGCTGGAACACCGCTGATGCCGAGCAGCTCTTGTGCGTCTTGTTGGCTCTTACCAACAATGTCGGTCACATTCACTCCCATCTTCTCAACTTCCAACAGACCCGTGAGTCCCTCAGTCTGCAAATGCACCTGTTGGCACGGGCAACCGAAGAAAACCCATTGGCAATGGAAGACTACGAAATCTACTTCGAATCGGTATGTGTCTTCCTGGACGGACACGACTTGTGCTTGGCACCGGCAGCATAAGCGACTCCAAGCTTCCCCCTTCCGCAGCCCTCCTGATGAACATACTCCGCTGCCTTCAACCTGTACAAATCTGACAATACTAACTCCGATATCTCATAAAAGCTCCTATGCACAGAATTACTAATAGACCAATGAACAGCTAAAGTTTTCCAATTATCAATATTTCTTCTTGTATGTCTACAAGCCTTTATCTAGACACAAATGTTCAAACAGAGTTGAGGTAGCAACCCAAAAGATCGCCTTGGTGAAGCCGCAAGGTGCAAGCAAAATGTCATCACCGGGACCATCAGGGGAGGTGCAACCTGCATCCATCCACCCATCCACTGCCGCGCCACGCATCTGCTGCCGAGCGAAACCTCGGCATGGGTTGCCTGTGGACTGATTATTCTCAACAAGCAAGCCGCTGGCTAGGAGGAGGAATCCGTCTTGGCTTAAGTCTGTGGCAGACTTAACCTACCTTTAGCCAGCAATCTTCAGCTTCTCTACTAGCAAACTAGAGAAGGCAATCTGATCACGGGCTAGCTGAGAAGCATTGCTTCCCTACTAGTAGCTACCTAGATCGCCCAAAGAGGACTCTTCATTTTACAGTGGCCACGGGTGGGTCAAATGGGGCTACTACATAAATTTTTAAAAAGAAGCGAATCATCACTTGTCTCGGTTGCTATTCGAGCAAACGTCTCCACTATCATGCCAGCCATGTATCACGACTGTGGGACTGTGGGCCGAGCGATGCTCTTCTGTAGTACAGGTGGTGATATTGCCGTCTCTTCCCACTCAGTAGTGGACACATTCAGAAATTGATCTTGCCACTTTAGTTTTTGTTATCTAGGTGCTCTCCGTTCCATGCTTCCCTTGTTTCAAGTTCGCCACTGTAAACAAGGTAGCAAAACACCTGGATCCATCACTCCATTGATGCCATGTCTGGCTAGCTAGACAGCCTGTTCTTTTTCTGATATCATGGCTGGTACTGTACAGCAGTACCAGCAGCGAGATCTACTTTACTGATGGTGCATTAGGGCAAAAGGGGCCAACGGTCTTGTCCTCTCATTATTTCATCATTCTCGCCGCTGCAGACGCCTTCTTTAGAGAGACGAAGGGAACAAGGAGTAGGGAGCGGGCTGGCAGTAGGTTGCTTGGTCAGAGTGTCTAGCTAGCTACTAGCTAGCAACTGGAGCTGCGTGTACTAGTAGCTGGTACCGGTAGTACATGTAGTGGTGGTACCGTTTGTGGACGAAGCACAGTCCAGCTCGATCCACCGAAGTGTTCTCCCCACCTTTTCACCTCCGCGGAAACGGGAGTGCTTTGCAGTGCCGCGAGTTATGCATGCTTAGTTTTCATCGTCGCATGATCGCTGTATTTTCTGTCCAAATCCAGAACAGCGCCAGAACTGGAATGATGTTGCCTGAGATAGAGACTTCTTCCAAAGCCCCAAACAATTACAGCTTAACAAGCTTTATTAGTGACGAGTCGGAGGGCAGACAGACCTCAATGCTCTGGACCATCCGTGCTTTCTGCTGCCAACAACAAACAACGAGCAACTTTTGTTCCTTTTTGCCAAACACGGTCTCAAAATCCTTGGGACTACTAGCTAGTAGTATGCATAGTACATAGCTTGGCTTGACAAATAATCATTAAAAACAAGAGCAATAGATTTTTTAATAAACAAGGCAGATCAAGATGGCAGGCAAGAAGAAACCAGACCCGTCGTTAAAGGGCAAGAAGCCCATGAACAAGGCGAGAAAAGGCAAAGCAGGTACCATGACGCGAATGAGGAATCCCAGCCACATTGGCAACAAGCTCAAGCGCAGCGAAATGTACGGCAAGTACCTGGAACAAAAACGCAAACTCAAGGATGAAGCTCGTCGAGAACGTCGTGAAAAGGAAGCTACCGCACTGGGTGATGACGATGAAAAAGCCAAGCAAACACCTCGAACATTGGATAATGCTCGTGAAGCCGAAGCTACCCTGGTGGCTGCCGACGATGTGGAAGTGCAACGAGATGAAGACGAGGATGAATTTGCACCGTATTTTGATGGAGAGCGTCAACCCAAAGTGCTCATTACCACGCGTCCTCGACCTTCCCAGAATCTATTTTATTTCATTGCCGATCTCCAACAACTCATTCCAGGCCTGAGCTTTTACCCTCGCAAGTCGTTTAGCGTCAAGGAAATTTGTCAATTTGCACAAAACAGAGATTTCACTCACGTCATTATCCTCTCGGAGAAGAGCAAACAATGCAACGGCATGACCATTAGTCACGTCTCCAAGGACATGGCCGGTCCTACCGCTTTTTTCAAAGTCTCCAACGTCGTGACAGCCCAGAAAATCCCCAAACACGGACGCGCCACTCATCACATTCCAGAACTCAACTTGCATGGATTTGCCACTCGCATGGGACATCGGATCGGACGATTGCTGGGATCGCTCTTTCCCGCACGGGATGCCGAATTCCAAGGACGACAAGTCGTGACGTTTCACAATCAGCGCGATTTTTTGTTTGTCCGGCATCATCGCTACATTTTTGATGAAATCGAAGACGAAGCCAAAATCAAACGACAGGAAAAGGACAGTCCCATGCCACACATTAATACGCGGTTGCAGGAATTGGGGCCTCGGTTCACCTTGAAACTCCGATGGTTGCAAGAAGGAACCTTTGACACGCAGTTTGGAGAATACGAGTGGATTCACAAGCGCAAGGAAATGGATATCACGCGACGAAAGTTTCACTTGTAATCTAACAATAATGCGTATGGGCATTTTGTTTCACGCTTTGGGTTACGTTTGGTACCGTACTAACTTACCTTGACTCTTGGCCAACCAGAATTTTAACTTAGTTACGATGGCATTTCAGGTGGTCATACTACGGTACTTGAACGTCATAGAACAACAAAATCATTTCAAATACTCGACTCTACTGGTTGACGGATTTCTCGAGAGTATCGTAGTACGTGCAAATGATCCTCGCAAACAGTCTGTTCAGTTGCGAAACACGAACCTGTTCGAGACATGCATGAGGGTGAGAGGTCTCATCCGCAACATGCTTCTTCCTGCAGGCATCGTAATGCTTGCTTGCATTGTGGAACTTGCGTTTCGTCTTGAAACTTTGCTCAACCCTTCCTACCACCAGGAACCAAATAACTGTCTTTCCCAACTGCACCTCGAACGCATGGCTACCGGTATATGCATAGCATACACTATCTTTAAAAACTTTCGCCTGTGCAAGCAACCAAACATCCCGCCCCCAATGCAAAGGATACCAAGTTCAGTTTAAAATCAATCTCCAAACAAATGAGGCATTGGTTCTGAAGACATCCATGAACCTTGCTAGCTAGTGCAACCACGTACTGGTACCAAGCAATCGATCAATGCACAAGCGGCTCCCCAACGCAGAGTTAGGATTTCCACACAGTAGCGCTACTGTACGGTACTATCCTACTAGCTAGCACCCCTCTCGACGCACATGCATGGCTGTCCTATTTCTTTTAATTTTATTACCATTATTTTTACTGTGAAATCCTTGGACAACACAGCAGCGAGCAGCGAGACGACAGACATGCCCTACATGTTACATGCCGCTAGATGTGAACGGGTGATATACTAGTAGCTTCATTCCCTCCTTCTTTCAGGACCCTGTAGCACCATGGAGTCGAGTCCAAACGCAACAGCAAGAACGCAACTGTGCGTGGTGTTCCTTCCGAAGGCGTACATGGGGGAGTGTCCCTTGTTACTTCGGGCGTGACAATTTCCGTCCACGGCAACACTCTCTTTCACCATGGACACCATGAACAGCAACAGTATCAGCAACAACAAGAGCATTGGTAGCAGTGCTTCTACCACACCTGGAACTGTCACTGGAGTGAGTGCTTTTCTTACTTCTGGCCTGACGAGCTGACAAGTTCCTTGGTGGCCGAAGAAGTAGTCAGCTATTTGGATCGCACTTCAGCTGCCAGTCTGATGAGATCATTCCAGAGGTTGTGAATCAGTTTGACTTGAAGAAGTCCTACTGCCAACGACGTGGACGAAAGCTGGAGTGTCAAAAGGCTCCTCTTGAATAGCTTCGACAAAGCTTCAAAGAAATGCGACAACATTGACGACAACACGGCAATGATGCTGACAGACAATGACGCCAAGAAAATGATGGAGTGTGAAGACTGCATCTTCACGATTTTGGACTCGACTCTGCCGTTGCCCTTTGCGTGCCACTGTTTTGAGTTGCGTGGTGTCGAGAAGCGTCACCAAACGACAATCTGCAGTTGCTCTGATCGTGGAAGCAAGCCTGGTGCGTCTCTTTGAGAGTGCTTCAGAAGAAAATGTCGGAGAGCACACCAAATCAAGATCGCCAAGAAAAGACTGTGTCTATCTTGACAATGAATACGATCGTTGTCCTCTTTTGCGAGAATTTTTCCTCGAGGACTGCATTGCATGTCCTGGATACGAAAAGAAGGCCTGCGATTGCTGCCAATATTGCAAGAACGGGTTTCCATTCCAATCCAAGGCTGTGATGGATTGGGCTTGTGGGGATTGCAAGACAACAACTCGATGCACTCGTTGTTCGAAAAGCTGGTGTATGCCCCTATGACATGTTTGAAAAAGGATCTTTTTGCCGACGCGGATGTTCGATGCAAAGCGTGCTCCTATCACATGGGCTACTGGTGTGAGGCGTGTGACAAAACTCATTGCTACAATTGTGAAGGTTGTTTTGACAGTCAGGATTGTGATGCAACGCGTAGCCAGGTTTGCAGACCATTTGTTGGCGTTGTGGCGATGCCCATTGTCTTCAACACAGCAACGCTTTTGATTGGAAGGAGCTACCCGCACTGGATGGAATTTCAACGAGGCGATTTATGACAAAGCTTTGGCTTGTCCCAGCTGTAACATGCATTACATGTACGCAGCTTGCTCCAAGTGTCATGAAGGAACCTGTTCTTTCTATCAGAGGTGCTTTCATGTGTGTTCCTGTGGTTCGGACGCCAGCTATGCGTTTGCCTTCACACAGCAGTCCTCTCCGTACCCACCCTTTTCTCAAACGCCAGTAACCCAGCCACCGCGAAGAGCCTACACTGAGCCACCAGTCCCCCCACTTCCCTACAGTTTACCGCCAAGCCCCTTCCACTGGACTACCCTACAGCTTGCATTCCACTCTGCCACCCAACAGCTCTCCGCCTTTCACACAGCCACGATTCGCGCAGCCACGCTACATCTCCCCACCTTTCGAATGCCAAGGATCAGTCGTCAGCAGGAGCCAATCCAGAGCCTTCCACTTGTTGCTCTGAGCAGCCACCAAGGAAGACGTCCATGGGCTTTCGCGAGATAGCTCGACGGCTACTAGCCAGCCTGATCGATGTTATCGACACGCCATTGGTCCTACTTTCATCGCTGTTAGATTATTTGGAATGAATCGATCGACTGATCGAATGAGCTAACAGCGACTGTCTGCCGCCAGTCACGCTGCCGCCCTACACTCGGCCCTCCACCAGTCTACCTCCCTCAGCTCCGCCAACTTTAAAGGCTCGAGGGGTACTTGGCCAGAAAGTTGCATATGACGACAAGCTGTGGGCTGGGGGGAGATTGGGCAGGCGAGTAGGACCTGTCCGTGGCTCGACGGAGGATCAAGGCGCTCCTGAGGACCAGGTATAGCTGCTCGAGAAATCGCTCTGCGCCGCAGACGTCCTTTGTGCTGGGTGTGTTTCCCTGGTCGCTTGGGTTGTGCCACTTCGGAGGGTCTGCTTAGGGAACATGACTCATGAAAATGCAATGGGTAGCCTTCATTGTTGATTTGTAGTTTCAGGGTCAGCCCTGAGGCAGACGCCAGAGGGCTTGACAAAAGCTGCACGGAACGGCCAGAGACAGAAAGAATCCTCTGCGTCAAAAGTCAAAACTCTGTGAGTTGTTGTCTATTGTGGAAACTCTGAACGAATTCCGCGACCATCTACGTGGCTTGCAAAAGCGCATGTCAGTACTTTTTGAAGTTTGCAAGTGTCCTGGAGGAGTTGGGATTCAAGTCATGTCCGAGTCGGCTTTGCTTCCGACACCAGTCGTAGAGACACCGAAGTGCCTTGGCATCATTCCTTTGCGGGCATGTTGTGGAGATTGGAAGATGACAACGACGTGTCATGGCATCATTGTTTTGCGGGCATGTTGGGAGATTGGAAGATAACACGGAGGCGTGCATTGTGCACATTGAAGCTTCGGACGTGACTGCTCCTTTGGAAATTCGGGAGCACGGCGTTCATTTTGGTTGTGGGCATTGATGAAGCGCACCTGTTCTCTGTCGCGACCATTCTGAAAAGACGCAGGGCACTAGGCTTCGTTCTTCAGCCGCAGTACGATGCAGCTAGTCTACTACCATGGATCTAGCGAGAATGGCGTCTTGCACAACACGAGGAAATGTCTACTTTCTGCTACCTTCTCATTTGGGGAGGTTGTTCCAATGGAACATGGGAAACCAAGCAATCCTCACTACACCATTGGGAGCATTGGTGGTTGAATTCGGGATTAATGTTACAGCATTGGGTGTGCGAAACCAACTTCTCATTTTCTGCCCCTTTCCCAATTCAGCATTAGTCGGGAGCATAATCGTGACGCTGATGGAGACGCTTGAACTACTACCAAAAGAGATTGGCGTCTTGATGGCTTTCAAAAGAGGTTGGATGATCTGGAGCGGCTCGATGCGGCTGAATTGCTTTGGGTTAGGGAGTTGTGATGATCGCGTGCTTGTCATTTTTCTGCCACAAGGACTCATGTGTCTCCCGAAAGAAATCGAAGCTCAACTCGGCTCGGAATATTGAGTCAAGACCTTGCGCATGTGTGCTACTGCCCGAACGAGAAAGCGCCATGAGGGGTACCGACGAACCGAGACAGATGTGAAAGATTTGTATCCAGGCGTGCTCAGGACGGTCAGCGAACAGCGGTAGGCTGCAAGGCGCACTGTGTGGAACCTGTCACTGTGGTCCAAAGGAAGGCAGAGTGGCACGAATCAGACAACGACAAGAGCAAAGCGACCGAATATCGCAAGCGAGTTAATCCGGGCACGAAAGCCAGGCACAAAGGGCGAAGAAGACAAGACTGCGCAACCAAGTGGTAACACCAACATTGACAGAGGATACCACTATAGAAAGTGAAGGAAGTGGAGCTTGGCTCTTGGTGGGTGGCAGAGAAGTCAAGTGACAACAGCGAACTTGGCTGAGGATCCGCCAGAAGGGAACGAAGCTCCAAGTATGCGAAGCAGAGAAGTCAAGTGGCGGCACTGAACTTGGCAGACGACCCAGCAGAAGTGAACGAAGTGGAGCTTGGCTGTAAATGTTCGAAGCGGAGAAGCCAAGTGGCAACACGAAACTTGGCAGAGGATACCGACAAAGTGAACGCAATGGAGCTTGGCCGCAACTGTTAACTTGGCAGAGGATACCGACAAAGTGAACGCAGAGGAGCTTGGCCGCAACTGTTAACTTGGCAGAGGATACCGACAAAGTGAAAGCAGTGGAGCTTGGCCGCAACTGTTAACTTGGCAGAGGATACCGACAAAGTGAACGCAGTGGAGCTTGGCCGCAAATGTTCGAAGCGGAGAAGCCAAGTGACAACACGAAAACTTGGCCCAGTGACAACACGAAACTTGGCAGAGGATACCGACAAAGTGGAGCTTGGCCGCAAATGTTGGAAGCGATGAAGCCAAGTGACAACACGAAAACTTGGCCAAGGCACAACACGAAACTTGGCAGAGGATACCGACAAAGTGGAGCTTGGCTGCAAATGTTCGAAGCCGAGAAGCCAAGTGACAACACGACAAAGTGCAGGTGCCGACCAAGACCAACCGACAAAGGGGGGGGGGTTCGAGTTTCTCTCAGCAAGAATCAGCCAAAGGCCAAAACTTCCCAAGCCTCACGACGGGGACGTGGAAACTCTTCGAGGCTCATAAACATCATCAGCAGAGGTGGTTTTCAGGTGTCACAGGCATTAACTAACAAAGTGGAGGACGTTCGGTCAGCACAGAGGCCTCCCTTAGCACAGGAACCACAAACCTGGCTGCCCTTCGCGTGACCCATCAATTGAACACACATGCAAGAATCCGCCACTAATTTTTTCTCGGACATCGCGGTCCACATACTAATTTTTTCTCGGACATCGCGGTCCACATGGTGATGGAGTTTTTCTCGGACATCGCGGTCCACTGGAGTTTTTCTCGGACATCGCGGTCCACTGGAGTTTTTCTCGGACATATTGGCGGTCCACTGGAGTTTTTCTCGGACATCGCGGTCCACATGAAGAAGGAGGAGGGGGGGGGGGACGAGACGAGCAAACAGGGGGTGAGACGAGCAAACAGGAGACGAAGATATTTTGTCCTTGCTTCTCAGCCACAATACTTTGTCCTTGCTTCTCAGCCACAATATTTTGTACTTGCTTCTCAGCCAATGCAAAGCAGACTACCCAGTGACAAGTTCGAGACGTTGCCATGTCAGGGGGAATTTTGTATTTGCTTCTCAGCCATGGATGTGGACAAGTTCGAGACGTTGCCATAGTCAGGGGGATATTTTGTGATTTGCTTCTCAGCCATGGATGTGGACAAGTTCGAGACGTTGCCATAGTCAGGGGGATATTTTGTGATTTGCTTCTCAGCCATGGATGTGGACAAGTTCGAGACGTTGCCATAGTCAGATGGGGATATTTTGTGATATGCTTCGCAGCCAAGATGTGGACAAGTTCGAGACGTTACCATTGTCAAAAGATGGGGATATTTTGTGATTTGCTTCGCAGCCAAGAATGTGGACAAGTTCGAGACGTTACCATTGTCAAAAGATGGGGATATTTTGTGATTTGCTTCGCAGCCAAGAATGTGGACAAGTTCGAGACGTTACCATGGTCGATATTTTGTAATTGCTTCGCAGCCAACGATCCATGTCCCGAAGTTACGGACCGCTCGATATTTTGTGATTGCTTCGCAGCAACGATCCATGTCCCGAAGTTACGGACCGCTCGATATTTTGTAATTGCTTCGCAGCCAACGATCCATGTCCCGAAGTTACGGACCGCGGACAAGTTTGAGACGTTGCCATGGTCATAAGAAGATGATATTTTGTAATTGCTTCGCAGCCAAGGATCCATTTCCCGAAGTTACGGATCCAGTTTGCTGGGTAGGTGATCCAACAGAAGCTCAAAAGTGGTCTTGACAAATGCTTGACGCCCATCGTATGAAGCCAAGTGGGACTTGCCGGTGTGAAGAAAAAGGGACAGATCCGAGTCATAATCCCTGTGCGCCTGCCCTGTACGTGCGCAACCGAAGTCAAGGTTCAATCATTTGTGAAGAGAAAAGGAGCTTGTGGAGAATCATTCCTGGTAGGTGGGGCGCAGTGAGAAGAACTGCTTGTAACAGACCCGAGTTTGCTCCTGACCAGTAGCCAATCTTGCCGAGCGCCGAAGCGTTTGTTGTTGGGCTGCAAGACGCGGAGAACGCCGAAGCTGCGAAGCTGGGACTGGCTGCCGTCGTCTGCGGCGTACTGGTTCATCGACATGAGCTGGTTCCTCAATGGGAGCTGCATCATCAGCGAGATGATCGTCGTCGTCAGGAGCAAAAGGCACTCCATCAACATCAGCTGGAACCAAGGGGTCGTCAATATCAGCCATGGGCGGAGGAGGAGGCGGTAGTCCAGCCGTCAGGTCGGGTGCTCCTCGAAATGCCAGGCGGGTAGGAAGATCCACAATCGTCTGGATGGTGGCACCAAGAAGAACAGTCATCTCCAGAGACAAAGATGCTGGGGTAGTGGCGCTGTTGGGAGCTGAGGGTGCTGGGAGAAGCAACGCATCAGAAAGACCCAATCCAGTTGTGGGAACTCGGGCAGCAGAGGAAGCTGGTGTCATCGCATGGGAAGATGAGCTGGCAGCAGTTGCATCTGCAGAGAAAGTGTCCCAGGAAAGCAAAGACCGCTGGAGAACACGGTTGCCTTGACAAGTCTGAGTGGCGACCACAATGTACCGGTTGTGCAAGAAAGCGGCCTTGACGGTGGTGGTTGTAGGTGGTGCACTAGCTGGCAAGAGCTGGGAGTTGTTGTTGTTGACCGGAACAATATCCATGGGCGGCCGAAGGAGAGGCAAAGCCCTTGGAATGGAAGGAAGTTCTCGGATGTCAATCAAGAGTGTCAATGTAGCAACATCCACGGCAGGTGGAGGAAGTGGAGGCAGAGCTGGACCAAAAGGGAGTCCTCGGCTCTTCACAGGCCGGCGGCATCGCACGAAGCGACGAAGGTTGCCATTGACAATAATATATTCCTGAGGCTGAGTTCGCGGACGGCGAACGGTCTGGCGACTGGATGCAGGGGCGGGATGGGTGCCTCTGACAAAGCGGCGAAGACAATCGTTGACAACAATGAAGGTTTGACGACGACTGGGCTCAGGAAGGGGGGCCTGCGGAGCCTGCGGAGCGGCAGGAGTAGGCCGAATGCATCGCTTGAAGCGGCGAAGATTGCCGTTCACGACAATGAATTCTTGTGGCTGGATTCTTGGACGACGGGCGGGTTGTTGGCTGGAAGCAGGGACCAGATGGCGTCCTCTGACAACGCGGCGAAGATGGCCGTTGACCAGAATGAATTTGTCATGAGGCTTGGCTTGCAATAGAAGCTTACCAAGCTCAGAAAGGGGAGCCCGCGGAGGGCGATGTGCTGTTACAAAGTATCTTAGCTGACCATTCACAATGATGAATTGCGGGTACTGGAGGGCTCGAACTTGTCCATCAATGTTGGGTTGCAATATCTCGCCAATGGGGAGTTCAAAGGGAGCATATAGATGACAACGGCGGGGTGGTACTCGGAGCGGGAGTAGCCAAAGGCCATGGAAGAACAAGTAGCGTGCCAATCGGATGAGAAGGTATCCAATGACAAGAGCAGCAGTAACAAGGATAGCAGCTTGAAGATAGATGTAGATTACAGGCAACAGGTTGTAGGACCCCAAGACGAGGGGACGGATGTGTTGCAGGTAGAAGGACTCGGGCAATGCAGTCAATAGGCACAAGAAGGTATCTTGATGGAAGAGTGCGCACGTTCGAGCAGCAAGGATGTACTGGGAACGAGCCGAGTCGTAGAGAGACTTCATCTTGATGTTGGCGGCGTCAAGGAGAGGACGCATGCGATGGTAGAAGAAAGTCTCGGCCAAATCCACAAAGATGCAGCGGTACAAAGCAATGGACCGAGCAAGGGATTCTTCAGGCAGTTGGTAGTACTCCGAACAGATCCAATGAGATTCACTGTATTGATCGGCGATGAAGGAAGGAACCAGTCCATTTCCGCTCTCGAAGAGGGTAGGTAACACGGCCAAGGTAGACAATGCAGGACGGGTAGGTTCCGAAGAGGTCATAGTCCATTTCCGCTCTCGAAGAGGGTAGGTGACACTGCCATGGTCGGCGATGTAGGACGGGTTGACCGTAGAGAAAAAGGAGGCGATGATGATAAAAAGGGTATAAAAAAAATTCATGATAAAGTATTGCTTCATAATGAATAAAGTGAGCTTGGCAAGGTGCGAGTGTTTGTTGCTTGTTGGCTTGATGTTGCCGCATTCGCCAAAGTGAAACGGTTTTCAAAACTCAAACTTTTAAAATTAAACTACTGTTCGGGTATTGGGTCATGCAGTGAATGCTAGCTAGCGCTACAGTAGTGTGTAATGTCGTTTTAAACTATCTAGCAACACTTTGATTTTGATGTTTGGAAAACGATCTGCGATAATGATTATTGATTTTGATGTAGACGTAGTAGGGAAACGATCTGCGATTATTTTTGATTTTGATGTCGGACCCGTGCGCATTGTCGTGTTTTACTACCGGTACCGTCGCTAGCAACACTTTGATTTTGATGTTTGGGAAACGATCAGGATTTTGATTTTTGATGTTTGGGAAACGATCTGCGACGACCAAGATGAAGCGATGACTGGATTTTGATGTTTGGAAAACGATGGGACGTCAAGATTTTGATGTTTGGGAAACGATTTCTGTGATGACGATGACCAACATCAAACGACGATCATAATGATTCAGGTTTCTTGATGTGACGACCTTGAAGATTTTGGTTTGAAAATAGTTTGAAACCTCGAACGAGTAGACTTTCAAAACTTCAATGTCTCGTTGGTTGTGCCTTTGGAAAGAGATGTCGACGATGGCGTGTGCGGTACGGCGGCAAGGGTAGCTTTCCATTCCGTGGCTTCGCTCCGCTGTGGATGGATTTGCTTCGTTCCTTCTTTCCTTCAATTCAAGTAAGTCTCTCCATGCAAAATGTCATGATATCGCCGTTGGCTAGCCAGCAGTACCCTTTCACGGCTTCCAGTTGATCCGTCCATTGACCCGTCGACATCTTGAAAATAGACGGTATCGCTTCTCATCTTGGTTGCTCTCTTCCACAATATCATAGCCGTCTGCTGACGCTCGGATTCATTCGCCATTAACCTGGGGTATATTGTATCCAGTGGGTATCCAGCCGATTTTCCCGTGGTGTCTACCAGACCTCTTATATCTGCTATCGTCCTAGCTAGCGAACTCATCTTGGTCGCTCTCTTGCACAGTACGGTAGCCGTCTCCTGACTCTCGGATTCGCCATTAACCGTGGGTATACGGTAAACGTTCCAGCATCTCTTCTCAACCAGCCGATATTCCCGCGGTGTCTGCCAGACCTCTTGTCTCTGCTACAACGGTAGCTACCGGTAGCTAGCAAGCTCTTTTGCTGCTTGATGTCCCCTGTCCCCTTCTCACAGCGGTATCGTCGCCTGTTGGTTCTTATAGTGACGATTGAGATATGCTTCCCAATTTCTGTAACTGTCGTTGCTTTTGGTTGATGGCACCTTTCTCGGAAGGCTAAAGATATCGCGACCATCCATCAATCGGGTTTTGCAAAAGATCTTTTGCACTTTCTCATTGTCAGCGGCTCCAACGTGGAACTTTCTTCCAGTAGACCTGAGTAGATGGCAGTACTGGGCCAAAGATACCTTGGTGTCTTCGGAAGCTTACGTACTTTCTTTTAGATTCTTCGACATCATCCGCCACCAACCAAATCACCAATCTAACAGCACTCTTCTTCACAAACCCATCACTCATCCATACTTTCTGAAGAAAATTAGCTGCCAGCAAGTCTCCAGATTAACTAAACGGCTACCCAACCCATCAAACAACGCCTCACAATTTATCCCTTAGCCATCAGTCAGATACCCAAATTGAATTTTCTACCATGGTCCGATTTTCCTCCTTTGCCCTTTGTGCCCTCTTGGCCACCGTCGGTGAGTGACTGATAATAATACTATCCTGTATTGCACGATGATGATTAATTGGAAAGGACAATGGCAAAATATATTATTGTACGCACCCTGCATCTCACCTCGTTTTTTCCAATACTCAAACAACCGTGCTACCTATCCCTTTTTTCAGATGCCTTTACCAACCCATCCATGCCATCAGCAGCCCGTGTCGCCACTTCCTTGAACATGGGAGGTCCCTCGTCTTCGGCCAAAATTGAGTCGGTCAAGGCCCGAGAAATTTTGGATTCTCGTGGTAACCCCACCGTCGAAGTCGAACTCGGCATTAGTGATGGCCGTGTCTTTGTGGCCAGTGTCCCATCGGGTGCATCCACGGGAGCCTACGAAGCCGTCGAATTGCGAGATGGAGACAAGAACCGATACCTCGGAAAGGGCGTGTTGAAGGCCGTCGACAATGTCAACTCGGTTCTTGGGCCTGCCGTTCTGGGTATGGATCCTGCCGCACAATCGGATATTGACAACAAAATGTTGGAAATTGATGGTACCGCCAACAAGGCCAACATGGGTGCCAATGCCATTTTGGGTGTTTCTTTGGCCGCCTCCAAGGCAGGAGCCGGTGCCCGCGGTGTTCCACTCTACCAGCATTATGCCGATTTGGCCGGAAATGATTTGAGCCAATATACCATGCCCGTCCCATGCTTCAATGTCATCAATGGAGGATCCCACGCCGGAAACAAGTTGGCTTTCCAAGAATACTTTGTCATCCCCACCGGTGCCAAATCCTTCTCGGAAGCCATGCAAATTGGATGTGAAGTCTACCACACCTTGGGAAAAATTATCAAGTCCAAGTTTGGTGGTGATGCTACTCTGATTGGAGACGAAGGTGGTTTTGCTCCTCCCTGTGACAACCGCGAGGGATGCGAACTCATCATGGAAGCCATTTCTCAAGCTGGATATGATGGCAAGTGCACCATCGGTCTCGATGTTGCCGCTTCCGAGTTCAAGGTCAAGGGACAAGATGGATATGATTTGGACTTCAAGTACGATGGAAATGTCATTACCGGAGAAGAACTTGGCAACCTTTACCAATCCCTGGCCGCTGATTTCCCCATTGTCACTGTTGAGGATCCCTTTGATGAAGATGACTGGGAGAACTGGGCTGCTTTCACTGGAAAGAACGCAGACACATTCCAGGTTGTTGGAGATGATTTGACTGTCACCAACATTGAAAAGATTGAGCGTGCCATCAACGAAAAGTCATGCACTTGCCTCTTGTTGAAGGTCAACCAAATTGGATCCATCACAGAATCTATCGCCGCCGTCACCAAGGCCAAGCAAGCTGGATGGGGTGTCATGACTTCTCACCGATCTGGAGAAACCGAAGATACCTACATTGCCGATTTGGCCGTTGGTCTCTGCACTGGACAAATCAAGACTGGAGCTCCTTGCCGATCGGAACGTCTTGCCAAGTACAACCAATTGCTGCGAATTGAGGAAGAGCTTGGTGCCTCCAACACTGTCTACGCTGGAGAGGGTTTCCGCACGACTGCTTGGATGGGCGAAGGTGCTCTCGTCAACTAAATTTCAATCGAACCAACCAATGCTTCCATCATCTGAAATTCTTGATTGAGCCGAGCTAACGACGGTACTGATGACGGGATGATTGGACGTGTTGATAGTAGCCTGGCATGAAAGGCTTCCTTCTCTTTTAAAGATGCATATAAAAGATACAAACCTAGATAAGCGAAGTCGTGCTAGCTAGTTGTTGTGAAGCGTTTGTCCGTGGACCATCCTTGGACAACAACTTAAACCATGCATCTGCCATGCAGTACAGTTTCATAAGATCGTACTCCGTTTGATGGTTGGTACATTTCAATCCTTACAGTACAATTACTAACACATGTTTCCTAGATCTGGCTTGATACCCAAACATACCGGTATCGAAGTTCTTCTGTCTTGTTCGTACAGATATTATGTAGTTGTAGCAATTATTGCTCGAATACCCATGCCACCGGCCTGGGAGATTTGTTTTGATCTGGAAACAGACTCGACTTGACTCACTCCTCAGCGTCGGAAGATGAGAGAAGAAGGGCCCAAGAAAGGGTCCACATTGCGCCACTCTGTTTCCGCTCCTTGCCAGTGGAAGAATGGCTTGCTTTCCTTGAATGTGTCGAGGGAGTTGCTGTTGTTGTGGGTTGCTTGTTCTGCTGCTGGGTTCTCGGTTGCAACATCCAGAATGTTGGTGCTTAGTTTCGTCATATCTTCAGCGTAGACTAGTTTCATTGCTGCTTCATGACCAGTACGATGATTGTCGTCCTTGCCATTGTGCGGGACCACTTCTTTGGAGGTCACTACTTTGTCTGGGACGACCCCCACAGCAACTGGCTTGTCTTCGCTGCCGGTAGCTGGCTTTTCTTCGTACAGATACAGCCTTGCTTTGTTGAGAGACTGAGATATGGCGTCTTGCAGTTCCCGGGTGGTTGACACGGCTATTACCTCGCCATCATCATCACGGTAGTAAAAAGGGTATTGAGGAGGTGAGTTTGTGGCTTCTTTGAGCAAAGTTCCAAGATTCTCCAGTGAAGCTGTTCCCAACTTTGGATGGATCAAGTGGCGGAGTTGAAAGCGGCGAGTTTCGAGGTCACCTGCAAGATCAACAGCTTCATCAGTGAGTGGATCATACAGACGGTCACTCGCACGACGGGGAGTACCTGGAAGTCCGTGTACGAGTCGATGCACTCAAGCAACTCACCATCTGCCTTGGAACCGAGAACAACCTTAATAGTAAAGTCCTCGTTGCCTCCAACGTTTGAAGTGTACGCGGCCGAGCGAATGCTGTTGTCAACGAACAAGAACGCCATAGTGGCTTCAGTCCTTTTGTTCTACCAAATAGAATGAATCTTTGGCTCCTGATATTTATTTGGAGACGGCTTTGCATCTTCAGGCTATCCAAACTTGCAAATTAGTTGGTAACGGCTTTCAAGTGTCACCTGACGTCGTGAGCGAGGCGAAAGGCACTCCTATGATGGCGCAGCTCTGATGGGTTGATCCCTTCGCCGTCCGCAGCTCAAAAACCCAGCTATGACGTGACGCGCACTGGTAGACTGTAGCAACTTGCAACCAGCCACAACAAACGTTACGAGACAGCAGACATTGTGAGTGTATTGAAGTTTAGTGCCCTGATGGCTCCGACAGCTGAATCGATTCAATCAGTTTAGAGGGTAGAAAGTTCGAGAGGAAAAGACTAGAAGGAACATTTCTATCTGGCTAGCTAGAGATTTCTATGATGAAGAAGTGAAGAAAAAGAGAGCTTTTGTTTTGCTTGGCTGATTGATGATAGATGGAGTGGACCCTGCCTGGTTGTCGTTGTTGGTTTTTGGGGTTGTTGGTGGCAGCTCAACGAAGAGGACCCACCACCACGCGACGACGGTTTTCGGAACCGTTTCTTTAGACCTTATCTCTAGTGAGATTACTAAGGTTAAGGATGTTCGGACAGGATCTTCAGCCTTCCTCTCGATCTTCCAACCGCTCACCATGGCACTCTCGTCGGTCAACCACAAACCTCAACTCAACAAGCCAGAGCCAAGACAGTAAAGACCAACTACAAAACAAATATATAGCAGCTAGATAGACCATGTCAAGCTATGTGGATGCAACGAGCGGCGCTGTGGATCATTGCCAACTGATGGCTCAGCAACAGCCCGATCTGGCGGCCGATTACTACAAGATTGCGAGCAGTTGCAAGGAAAAGCTGTGGCATCAATTGACTCTTACCATTCTGGACTTGGTGTCCAAGCCGACGACGACTCTTCGCAGCACTCCAGAAGGCACGAATTCGTATTTGGCATTGTACGACAAGGTGGTTCTCTCGATCGACACCAAGTTGAACCCGTTGAGTTTGGCACGGATTGCGTCGTATGTGGCCGCGTCCTTGACGGCCAAGACGAGCGATGAAAAAGACACCACCGCCGCCAAGGCCGTTCTAGAGAATCTGCTCGCCAACAAAAAAGACACGCTGGGAACTCCGGCCACCATCTTTGTCCAATCCAAATTGTCGCTGCTGTCGTTGAATGCCGACGACAAGACGAAACTCGATCAAATCAAAACCATTGTCAAATCCAATGGCGAACTCTTGAAAGAAATGATTGATGCCCGCGACACGTCCGAATCGGCCATTGTCCACTCGGCGCATTACGAAATGGCCATGACCTACTACAAAGTCGTCGGTCCACCGGAATCCTTTTACGATCAAGCCATGAGTTTTCTCAATTACGCGCCACTCCTCGAAACAACCGACGACGCCAAGACTGCCTATTATCATCAACTCGCCGTCGATTTGTGTTTGGCCGCACTCACGGGCGAAGGTGTCTACAATCTCGGACAAGTCGTCAGTACGCCCGTACTCGCCATGCTAGCGAATACACCCGAAAGTTGGTTGGTGGATATGCTCAAGGCATGTGCCAAAGGACAGGTCGTCGAATTCAATACGCTCACGACACAATACGCGGATGCCATTGCCAAACAACCCGCGCTGGTCCATCGCGCCACGGCTGTCAAGGAAAAACTCACACTGTTGGCATTGGTCAATCTCGTCTTTGAAAAACATTCGTCCGAACGAACCCTGGGCTTTCAAGAAGTCGCCGATCGTTTGCATATTGACATTCTGCAAGTCGAGTGGGTCATTATGCGAGCACTCTCGTTGCAGTTGATTGAAGGAAGTATGGATCAAGTCGATCAAACTGTGTCGGTTACGTGGGTATTGCCACGTGTCTTGGATACTACCGAGCTGCAAGCATTGGCAGGACGGTTTGGAGAATGGGCCGTCAAAGTCAGCAAGACCAAGGATTATATGCAAGAACAGACACCCACGTTTGCGTGAGTATGTATAGCATGCATGAACAATGCATGAAGTGCCAAATCTATCGGGTTGTTTGGCATGTCGATTGAAGATTCATTCCTTCAGAGAGAATAAACACTAAACTTTTACGTTGCACTCTTAGCTAGGCATTCCGAAATAGTACTGCTTGCTCCTCTCGTACCGGTAGCTCTCACCGAGCCCACAAAAAACGGTACCGGCAGCTAGCTAGTCCACCCGTGCCATCCAATAAGCTTTCCGGGAGAGACCATGCACTAAGGCACTGGGTAGCTCATTATTTATTTGCTATCTGATTGCACAACATCGACTCAGAAGAAACAAAGGATCCAGAGGTCCATACAAGAGGGACCGAATAATAATATGGCTTGCCTGGCCAAGACAAATCAATGTTGCTCGTGGTACGGTTCGGTTGTAGAAGATGATCGGGTAAAGGCCGAATACATTTCACAAGGCCCTGAACAGTGCAACGAAGGCTTCATCTGCAGGAGTATTTGTCTTCGTACCATTGTATACAGCTTTGGTTGCTGCCTTCACCGCACTTGTTCCACTACCAGGTTGTGTCTCAGTTGTAGGAGGACTGAAGGCCGAGCCATTGCCTTGTTCGGTCTTACCTCCAGGTACACTTGGCACACCCAATATTACACCGTTAATCGAGGTGCTCTGAATGGCATTATATTTAAGTGCAATCACCAATTCCAGCCTTGCCTCTTCACCCGCCACTGTCATCCTACAGAGTCCCGTGATCTTGCACACATCTTTCGGCGGTGTGATCTGCTTTGAGGAGGAAAGCGAAGGTTCTCCATTGAACAACACAACAATCGGTAGACGCTGCGACTTGAACAGCGTAGTGGCCTTGTACAGGTTCGGTGAGAACCAGCTACCTTTGATTGCACGCGAACCAGCTGAATAGATGAGCATCTGGTATGTTTCTCTTGGGATCAGCAAGTCATAAGGGGCGGTGGGTTCCAATGTGGGATACAAGTAGATACCATCGATGGCGAGCCATTCACTGACAACGTCCAGTTCATCGATCTCGTATTTCCAGTGCAGCATGCTGCCTCTTCCCTCTATCGATACACAACGAGGAGCGTCAGTCTCTGTGACATGATCCCTGAACCTATTGAACAAGTGCGCCAGCACATCTCCTCTTTCAAAAAAGATGCCATGACACCACACCGGATCTCGGGGGCTTGGTTTCATCAGTTGTCGTATCAACCGTGAACCCTCAGATTCTGCCTCACTTATCTCGTGACAGCTGTTCGAATTGTTAGGTGCGTATTCATTGACACGAAGCACCAAGCAAGGCTGGTCCAGGAATTGGTCAATTGCATCATGTAACGCTCGACTAGAGTTGACAGAGATCTCGTCACCTTCCTTGTCCTCGTACGTAAATGGCGGCGCAGGCTTCCTCCCTGATTCTTTTTCTAGCACATCCAGCAGCTTTTGTAACGAAACTTCACCATGCTCCCCGTCGACAATGTCAGCATGCTGGAAGCGATAATATTGGAAATAGTCTTAGGGGAAGAACAAGTGTCAATGAGGGTACTAGTACAGTATACGGGGAATTGTTCGAGTGCTACTCACCAAAATCGTTGCACTCATAGCCGAATGCTACCTTGATGGAGAAACGTAGGTTGACACGTATGTCAAAGAAAGCATCTGAAGCGGTCGATGCAGAGACAGAGTCGCTGGTGCCGGTGCCAAATCTCATGGTGGTTACGGGAAACGGTAGAGGTGACGCAACGCAACGCAAAGTACAGTATGGTAGTTGGAAGATGTTTCCACTGGTCGTTCACCTGAAAATTCGAAACGCTGGGTTGGTCATTTTCTATGGAACAGAAGAGCCGTGACAAGATTGAACTCCCCACATGCACAAAGGGCTCGCAACCTTGAATAGTTCAACACCTGCCGGCGCCTCGTAAACTAGGCGTCGATTCAATGATTCGCTTCACAACCCGTCCAAGGGTATGGCCATACAGAGTACGGCTATGGCGGGGTCGGAGCAGGCATTCCGGTTTCTGGGCTCACCAAAATTGTCGCTTTCATAGATGAGTACCACCTCGATGGAGAAAGGTAGGTTGCAATGGATGTCGAACAAACCATCCGAAGCTGTAGAGGCTGAGAGAGACTCGTCGTTCCCGACCTTCATGGTTGTTTCGATACCAGATTCGATACCAGTGCTGACCAGTGATCGTGCAGCAGTGACTTGACACCAAAGATACGGTTCACCTGAAAATATGAGACCGCGGATATCTTTCCCTGTAGCTTCAGTACCGGAGCTGAAATTTTCATTCAAACCTTCCAAATGTGCCCTCTTGCAGGGTTGCGCTCTTTATTAGAACCTCGGTATTTACCGGTATGGTCATAGCTGGATGCATTTGCCAAAGACACGTCGACCATGGAGGTAGAGACTGTGACGCCATCTGCCGCGGATGAACCGGATTCATCCGAGGGCAAGGAACATCTCGAGGAAACCTTGTCCGATGACGAGAGGCTACCGGTACCTGATGGTGTGAAGGTGGAGACTGTGACGCCATCTGCCGCGGCTGAAGACGAACCAGATTCATCCAATGGTAAGGAACCCCCCGAGAAAACCTTGTCCGAAGAGGAGAAGCTGCTGGATGATTTGAAACAGGTCAACGAAGGTTTTTGTCAGCTCTTCGGTTTGGACCAACAAGAAACCAACTTCACCTGGGAGCACTTTTTCGTCGCACACTGTGGCATCCTGAAGGAGGATGCCTTGGAATACGAGCGACACCTGATTGCTCATCGCCTGAGCCCCGAGGATACACTACTGGAGTCCCTCGGAATTCTTGTCGAGTACGGTCGAATCCCTGTAGGGGACAAGCTCAAAATTTCCAAAACGATGCAGAGGCAAGAGGATAGCTTTAGAGCCCAGGAGGAGCAGGCAAAAAAGAACACCAAGGTTCTCGGCTTGGAAAAGTATACAGAATTTCAAGCACGCCAGATCATATCACTCGGTGGTGGCACGTCGAAGTATGAGATCGAATGGGGAATCGAGCAATTTGAAGATGGCATGTTGGAACTTGAGAAACTTGTTGCGGAGGCAATGATGAAGAACCCTGAGGCCCGAGAAGGGTTCATGGCCGGAGCAAGCATGGGTCGAAAGGAAAGAGACCCTGCCATGAAACTGTTGCGATCTTTCGGGTACAAGACGTTTGACTACACGAAGGGCAAATCCGTCACCCAGCCAACGGCGCAAACACAGCCAGTTTCAGCTAACCCTCTCCTCGAAGACTTGCTGTTTGGCACCGCCAAGAGTGAGGAAGACGACAGGAGAGCCGCAAGACTGGAGATGTACGCGTAGCGTCGTCATCTGGTGGAATGTCCGTAGAAATTGTTTGTCATGTTCAAGTTTCTTGAGGTTTCTTGTTCCGTCAACACCAGCACTCGACGAGATACCGGTATGGTAGATACCCCTGAAAGACATAAGAGTTTGCTTACTGTATGCTTGATAGCTTCTGACATCACTTCAGTCCATCCTGCAGATTAGGTATTGTCGAGATTTAGAGGTTCCCGCGGAGGGCTCGTGACATTGAATAGTTCAACACGTGTCTCATAAGCTGAACGAAGAGGCATCGCCGCAACATCAGGTGCCCTGCTTGTACCTAGCTAGTCGCAACCATACCCCAACCAACGTGCCCCTTGTAGCATTGTATGTCTTGGTTGACTTTTGATGAATGTCTCAGCATATACTCCAGAGAAGACAAGAACCACACTCATTGCAACAAAAATTGTGTCTAGAGTTGAGTCACAGACAGCATTCTGCACCACCTTAGACCTGAAGAATACAATCGTCTTCGCTTGAGGGACTAAGCGCGTTGCGGTGTCTAGCTAGCTATCCCACAGTTGTAACTTTCCCCTTGCTCGTCGCTCCAATCAAGGTCGAGCCATCAGACTGGTTGTCTTGGCTCTGTACCCTGAACTCGGGTTGTATGTTGGTCGTTGGCTCATGGTTGGCACTCTGTCATTGTTGTTGAAACGAAGCTTGAAGACATATCTCCTCGAAAAGAGTATCCCAATAGTTGCTGCTTTCTGCACTGGAACGCTCGTCTCTCCACGACGAGACCCACTAGGAAAATGAAGGTGCAGCCGCAGCAAAGGTAGGCACAAATTAGAAGTCTTTGAACGCAACCTGCTCTGCTGTTGTCAATGGCTTTGTCTTGGGTGGCAACTCATTTTCGAGATCTTGATAGTTTTCAAAGTGAGAAGCATCAAGTGCGTTCTTGATCTTTGGTTTCCAAGGTACCGGAAACTGTTTTCGTAGCAGCTTGTCAACGTTGATGACACTGAACCATTTGTGGTTTCGAATGTCGTCTTCTCCACTGGCCATGCATCCCAAGCGATCTGCTTGTCTGTGTGTCAGTAGCCTCTTGATCAAATCTTCTGCCTGCTCATGAACAATGCCCTCTGGAAACTCAAAGCTTGCCTGAACTATCCGTTTGAACAGGCTCACCTGGTCAGTTCCTTCCGAATAGAACGGTGACACTCCAACTATCATCTCAAATATGAGTGCACCGTACGCCCAATAATCCACTCCTTTGTCATGACCCTTTGAAACAATGATTTCAGGTGCCAAGTACTCTGGCGTCCCGCAAAGTGTGTACGTTTTGTCGACAACCACCTTGGCAAAACCAAGATCCACAAGGACCGTGTAGCCCCATTGATCAATCAACACGTTCTCGGGTTTTAAGTCCCTGTAGCAGATGTTCCTGCAATGCAAATGTGACATTGCTTCCAAGATGCACGCCGCATAGAAGCGGGCGTTTCCGTTTGGGATTCCATCTCGTTTCTCGGAATGAATCACGGAGAAGAGTTCACCACCTTGAACGAGGTCAATTAACATGTAGAGGTGGCACTCATCTTGAAACGTCGAGACGAGATCAATGACAAAGGGATGATCTAACGAAGCCATGATATTCTTCTCACGTAACACTCCATCTATTTGATGATGCCCCATGATCTCACGTTTGTCAAGTTGCTTCAGTGCATATGGTTTGCTGGTCTTTTTGTGGTTGACGAGCCACACAATTCCAAATGTACCGACTCCAAGGATGCGCGTCTTCTCCAAATCTTTAAAGCGGATGGATCGGTCCATAGTGGCGGAAACATTGGTCAATGGTTCGCCCAGCCTGGCAATATTTCCAAGGACGCCTTCGATATCGTGCTTGGATAGAACCACACATTTTGTCGCCTGTTTGACAGTGATGGATTGGTTACTCAAGCAACCATCTGGTTCCTTGAGGTATCGGTCACCAAAGTAGTCTGCATCTTTCAATATTTTGACCATTCCATCCTGGTTGACCACAGCAACCTTTCCATGCAAAATGACATAGAGATTCTGTATCAGTGGTTTTCCTTTCTCGGCCAAGACAGTGCCTGGCTGGAAGGTGGTCTCGACAATAAGTTCCGTAAGACGAGCCATTTCAAATTGTTGTAGTTTGGAGTCGGCAAAGACGGGAACACCCATGAGTGCCCGCTTTTTCATGGCTCGATCAATGGCTCCCTGCAGCGGGCCCAGCACCTGCTGAAAGGTTTCTCGTGAGAGGCACAGGCAGATGCAAGTGCTCGTGGCAGTCACATGGGCAGCCCGGGGATCCCCCGTCAAGAGTGCTCGTTCTCCAAAGTAATCTCCTGCTTTGAGGGATATTTCAATCGATGCACTATCCCCAAAGCCAATGTCATGCACCTTTGCCGTTCCTTCTTGAATAATGTAGAAATTCTCCCCCACATCTCCCTTGTTGATGATCCGTCCACCTTCCGGATAGCTCTTGGCCACAAAGGCATCTGACAGTTTGATGAGATCCAGCTTGTCCAAATCTGTCAAGAAGGGTACCTTTTGAAGAATATGATGCACGTCCTTTTTCTGGCTATTGGTACTATTGGCGAGAATGTATCGGAATGTTTTCTGGTCCACTTTCCACAGTTCACATTCCGTATGCGCCAAACAAGTTGCCGCTCGAGGGGAATCATAGAGCAACGCCAATTCTCCAAACGCTCCACCACGGGAACACGAACCGACATTGACACTGTCGACTTCAAAATTGACCGTTCCCTGTTCCACTACGTAAAAGTAATCTCCCGTTTCTCCTTGTTTGATAATTTGCGTTTTCGCCGGGACGGTTTCGCATTTCATGGCATCAATCATGGTCCGTCGTTCTTTGGGGGCCAAACTGGCAAAGACAAAATTATCTTCCATAATCCCATCAATGAACTGAATGGCCGTGGCAGATTTGGGAAAGACGGGGGTTTCAAAGTTGGTTTCGGCTTCAATGTCGAGGGATTGGGCAAAAATGTTTTGACGATTCTGTTTTGGCGCACGGACATTCCGTTCGCTGGCAGGCGCCGTGTTGGTCTCTCCATCTTGAGGTGAGATTTTGCCTTTGGAGCCCTGATAATGATAATGAAGGAATGGAAAGGAAACAAAAGTGTCAGGAGATGCCAACTAGCCAGGACCACTCTGGAAGTACTACTATGGGCGCACCTTGGTTCGTTTGAGTCCTTCTCGGCGTTTCCCGGCATCACTTCCTTGTGGCGTTGACGGCCTTGGAGATTGCTTCAAAGAGGGCTTGGAAGAAGCCTTGGACTTGCCTCCTTTCTTCCGCAAGATACCCTTCATTGTCACAACGAAAACATGGGTAGCAACAGCAGCAACCTTGACAGGAATGATGGATGTGATACCGCTAGCTAGAAGCGTTGGCTTCGGAGTTTCCCCTGTTGGTTTGGGTGGTGTTCTTGTGGCGTTGGGGTAAACATGTTTGAGGTTTGGGTAAATTTGAGATCAACTCCCACGCCATGACAGGAATCGTTGTTGCTTGCACCTCCTACTAGTATCGTACCGCTACTGTAACATGAGAACCGGTGGGGAAATTATCTATCATACATGTAACATTGCTTGCTCGTAGAAAAAGGGCCCTACCTAGCTAGTAATAGAACGAGCCTAATCGTTGACAAACGACATATACACACCGGTACACGTAAACAGGCTGGGCATCTGAGCTAGCTACTGCATCTAGATATTAGATCGCTGGCTAACGGTGGTACAAGGAAACAAAAGGGCGCGCTCATGCAAACAAGCAACAGGTTCCACTTCAATTCTTTCCCCGCGGCTCATTTCGGCTGAACCCCGTACCTTTGCCATCGGGGTTAGAGAGAAGGAAGGCCCCAGAGACTTGCAATTGGTCGAAAGATACCGTGAATATGCCCATGAAAGCCGAAACTTGTTCACAACTCCTCTCGTCATTCATCTTCTGCTGGATCTCACTAAAACGCATCTCGTGCATGGCGACAAACTTTCGAGACGCTGGGTTTCCCACCCACTTTCCAACTACTGTCACCATCTCATTACAATTGAGGAGAGGAATCTCCGTCAAGTCATTTGAGAACGACGTTTTGTCGTAAAGTTCCATTCCTACGGCACTTTTGAGTTTGGAATATACTTCGTTGGGAAGAAGCAAAGACCAGCTAAGAAGCCAAAAACTCGGTTCCAGTTGAAACCGTAAGAAACCGTCAACCGCGAAGTGCTTGGAATGGACTTTTTGTCCATTGATGTTGTACTCCCACAAACGAAAGTCGCGATGGGCCAGTTTCATTGTTTTGCTCGGAGGAGCAAAGGATGAAGTAACGTGGTCCTCAAGGTCGTTCACGAGATGTTTCACAACATCAGCTCGGTCGAAGACTACGCCATTGTACCCCGGGTGCAGCGTTCATCAACTCGCTTAGTTTGGCTGCCGCAGTTGGCTCGTACGTCTGATTTTCTTGAACTTTTGGCTCTTTTTCAAACAAGAGTAGGCGTTTCTTGTCCAAACACTGAGCGATAGCATCGTGCAGTTCCCTCGGAGTGGACACAGCAGCAACGTCTCCATCGCAGTCGGTGTAATACAAAGGGCGTGGCAGAATTTTTCCCGTAGCTTCCATGAACAAACTGCCGAGCGTCTCCAGCGATACCTTCCCCGACTTGTCGTTGATCAAGTGATGGAGCAGAAAGCGGCGAGTCTGACGATTAACTATGATTCGCAACAGATCCCTCAGTGAGTTCAAGCGCATCGCGTTGCGTCCAGGTGAACTTCAGTCAGGCTGTCCAGGTACTCACCTCCATCGACACCAAAAATTACCTTCACGGTAAAATCAGTGCTGGTTGCATCTTCGGACGGCAAAGTTGATGCGGTCGAAATCGCGTCTCCAAGTTCTACTAACATTTTGGTTGGTCCTGTTGACTGTCTGCCCTTTTGAACTCTATGCATACACTACTAGCTAGCTAGCTTATGCAGCGCTTGACGCATCTGATTTTAAAAAAACCTCGGCAAGATACGGTTCACCCAAAAACCTGGAATACGGAAAGATACGGTTCACCTGAAAACCTCTAGCTAGAGAGTCGGTCGATGTCAAGACTGTCAACTTTTTGGGGTGAATTTGAAGAACCCATCAAAGCGGTTGGAGAGCTGTTGCAGCAAGTTGTCAAGTTGTTGGTCTCCACTATGATAACGCCAGAATCACGTCTTAGTAACAATATAGCGTCGCTTCGAGAGTAATAGTGCAATAGGTAGAGAGGGCTGAGGAGGATTCGATTCCAGTGCTAATTGTGGAATTCAGTGGGAAAACAGCGAGCTGTACTTGAGCCGCCTAGACCGTACTTAGATCTTCATCTTTTCCCTTCGGTATATCGAGAGTTAGGTCGCGAAACTGATTTCGGGATTGTTGGGTGGGTCGAGGAGGATTCCAGTGCTAATTGCTGATTTCAGTGGGCTTACAGGGAGATGAACTTTGGCTGCCTCATCCTAATTTTCATTTCAGTTCGTCACATTATCCCTTCAGCCACAGCATTTTCCAATGCCGTTCGTTGTTGAAGGTATGTTTTCGTTGCCTGCCACCAGAGAACCGATATGGAGATAACGGGGATGAACCGAGGAGAGATTCAGCGCCAACTAAGAGAACGTCCCACAAACTGTCGTCTTTGCGGCTGATTGTTAGCTGGTAGTTTGCTGGGTTTCTTGATTAGGGACATCCCCTTGCGGAGGCAGAGCGCTGTGAAAGTTGAAGTGAATGTACCAAACCCAAGTCTTTTCAAATGTCCCCAAACAGAAATCGAAGCACTCTCGTAGATTCGTGATGATTGGGTTTCTTCGGTCCTAGCTACTACTAGGTCAGATAGCCCTATACATGAAGAATCCCATTGACACTCAGAGAAACAGCATTTGTCGCAAAGCTGATATGATTCCTCCCTGTGGTGAGCTGTTTGTCAGTTCCTCCAGCACCATTCCCATCCCCAAAGAATATGTAGGTCCAACACGGAGGTGGTCATGAGTCAACGGATTTTAACGCAGCCAACAATGGTCGACCAATCCACCTGGATGCCACCCTGTTCTGTTCTGTTCTGTTCTGTTCTGGTACCACACCCAAACAAAGAACCCCCACCTCGTGTTTTTTCATGAGTCAACGGATTCCAATGCTCTCAACCATCAAAACAAAAGAGTCCCCATGGAATGACTACATAACCCAAATCCGCCACAAAAGGCAGTGCCACCAAGACGAGATATAGATTGGTCACCACGAGATGAAGCCAGGGCAAGGGCAGCACGGTATCTTCGAGACGGTCCACCAACCCTTCATGGATCTTCTCGCTTGAATGGGGTATCCAACATCCCCCAGGTCAAGTAAGTGAACAAGACGAATGTAGTCACTGACCGTTGGGATGGTCGTGCATTCTTGGGAAAACCAAGCATCACATCACGCTCAGGCTTGATCTCTGATGTGAGGCAGATGGTTTTTTTGGCATGCCCGTATTGGTTGCAACTCCATCAATGCACTCATGGAGACTGGCCGGATCCAAGACCCATTCGGAAGAGGTACGGAGTAAAATACTCGGAGAGAAACCATAGCATGGTACCAGGTACCATGCATGATTGCCACCGGTATCGCCGCCGTTGCGTTTTTGCACTCCGAGAGCTGATCGCTGCTTCCATGGTTGTCACGGCACGTAACGGTCTTCTTTCGTCGCCAAGCAAAGAAGATGAGAGATCACACGTTCTGTTCTTTTCCTCCCGTTAGGTCAGTTACCGACTCAGGGTGACCGATAGCGAAGGAAGGTGCGTTGTTGCAGCTGCCAGTCATCGGCCACATTCTGCCTGGTTATCGTAGTCAGCGAGCATGTGCTATTGGCTACTGCCTCCTCGTCGAAGTGGGAAGAAAAAGGCATGCACAAGGTTGCCGCGACTTTCCGAAAGATACCCCGCATGACCAGGGTGGTCCGGAAACCACCAAAATGTGGCACAAAGAAGGAGATCCGGTCTTGAAGGACTTACTGAAAAGACTAAAAGCAATGTCAATATGACTCAAGTTCATTCTGATGACTGGTACCAGTGACTATCTGGCTTTACTATAGGATCTTTATACTGCTATAACTGGTACCAAAGATCCAATTCTCAGTGACTGATCGATATGACCTCACCTACTGCCCTTTTCAGAGTAAAATGCGAGGGGTATCCAACTTTCTGCGAAGGCATCTCACGATTGCATGTGGTTGCGCTTTTGCCGTTTTCGCAGGGTTGGCGGTTGACGCCAATATTTTTAATGCATTATACGGTCATGAAGGTATCATCGAAAAAATTGGCTTAGTCCAGCGTCAGATGCTGTCTTGCATCAGAACCGGTTTCTCTCTCTGAATGAGGCAGGAAGCAACGCGTGGTTCCCACAGAACACCCACTTACTTGAAAATTCTCCGTCAGTCTGATCGTCTCACAAATTCTCTTGGCTTCACACAAACATCACTCACCTACAATCTCAGATTCCATTCTATTTGAAGAGAACACTTTTCTACGCTACTACAATCCAAAATGAAGTCTACTCTTGCTCTCATCAGTATCTTTGCTGCTGCCATCTTCCAAGGCACCTTGGCCTTTGCTCCTTCCAATGTGTGTTCGAAGCAACCATCGGCCATTAGCTCTCCACTGTTCCGTGCTCCTACCTTTACACCGCCATCCACTACTACAACATCCCAATGGATGTCTTCCATTCCGATGGAACCCATGACGGTCGATGTGGCCGTATCACCTCAAATGGGCATTCATCCATGGGACCGCGTCTGTGCCACCGTCTCGGATGCGACCCAAAATTTGAACGCACTCCGACAAAAAATCCAAAAGTCGGGAGTCGCCACGGCCATTTCCTATTCGTTGGTCTCCAACATGTTCACTACCGTCGCGCTGTCGTTGGCGTGGTATGGATTCTCCATGCAGGTATGTTATCATCGTTGTGTTTTTGAAAAACGAATCAATTGAATATGATGGTATCTGACATTTGAGGTTTTCCTACGTACTACATTACAGACTGGCTTGTCCCCCATTAGTCCCGGACAATGGAAGCCCTTTTTGGCATGGTACGGTGGTTTCTACGCCGTCAACTCACTTCTCAAGCCCGTTCGATTCATGATTGCGTTGGGTATTGTTCCTCGCACCGAACAACTCATGGCACTCTTTCAAGCACGATTTAATGACAGCAAAAAGGCTGCTGTTATCGCCTCCACATCGCTCTTGGTGGTGACTTCCAGCACTGTCATGGCGTCGGCCATTGGATTGGCCAGTCTCTGTTCTGGAGTCCCCATTTTTGTATAAACAAAACAAGCATCCAACCAACCAAACACCATCCGCCGTCACGCTTCCAAGCTTCCACGGCATGTACTACCACTGAAGCTTCGGACATCCTTTAGGATATACCATCCTAGACGGGGAGGACGATACACGAAGAGAGCACTTTGCAGAACATCCAGCTCTGATATCGTCCGAGGAAATCGGCGTTCTCAGGCTACCGTACCTCACTCCGACACACACACAAGCGAGTGCCATATGGCTGTGGAAACACGCTTCCAGGCCTGCATCGCTTCCCCACACCAAACTTGTATTTCTTACCAACTGTACTACTACTACGACTACTGTATTGTCAAATCAGAGACTGGCGATCAAAACTAGAGCCAGCAGCAAATATAATCTATAAATTATACAATATAGACTTAGCTTACATTGTACTTCGTGGCGACTGCTATAGTTTCGGCCGCTGCTTTGCGGACACCTGGTACGTCTTTGCAGGCAAAGATACTACAGCTTTGGTACGCAAAACCATTCCTTCCATCCATTTGCTTGGTCCCAACAAGCTAGCTAAATGGAAGGGATACCTGCCAAGCTAGCTGGATGGAACGAGGCAGTGGTGGCAGTGGCTGACCAACCCTTGGCTGCCCAACTTGGCTGCCCACCACCAATCTCAATAGAATCCTTTTCGCCCAAAAGGAGTTTAGCCTGTAACTGTTCGGGATGCTGCTGATGCCAATGCACCCTCATTTTTTGTTTGTTTGCTTGACACCCTTGCATCATGTTATCAGCCATGCACTGACACCTGTCTTCTGAATCATTTCTGGAAGTCTCTTTCCACGCTTTGGCTGACTCAGTTTCCACGGAACGGGAGCGTGGTGTTTTTGGCCACGACAGTGCGACCAGTTTGAGAAAGCTGCATCTCCGCTAGTGTCCATGACATGCCGAGACATGTCCAAGCCTGCTCGGGGCTGGCTAAAGGGACACTCGGAAGTCTTGAAGCATGCGTGGTGTCCATGGTCTGAAGCGTCACTGCTCTGACTAGAACATACTACTAGTACCGTAGCTAGCTGCTTGTATGTACCGTTGTCAGCAGGTTCCACGGTGCGAAGTGTGGATCTTTTGGAACCACGCTGACGAACTTTATATGCGGGCTGCCGTATCTTCGCCTTTCGCATCCCATGCACAGACTACTATACAAGACGAAAGAGGAACAACCGCCATGACATGACCGAGAAAGAGGACGATGCAGCCACTAAGGATGTTTGGAATCAGGTATTCCTCGCCATTGCTTCTCTGGATGCCAGCAGTTGTACGGAAGAAGAGATTCGAGCCAAGCTGGATCCTCTCTTGTCCACCGTAAAAGAATCAGAACCTCCCAATGGAATCTCGCCTCTGCTGGTGGCCAGTGACAAGGGCAACCTAAAGTGTCTCGAGTACCTACTATCCTCCCACTACCCCGTGTCTGTCATTGGAAGCCCCGTCACTCCATCCGATTCCTCTCATGGTGGAAATACTCCCGTTCATCATGCTGCCATGGCGGGATGCAGTGATGCGTGGCCTATTTTTGCGAAACTCATGGCAGACGACGAGGCGGAAGCAGTCTATGTGACTCTCGGAAGCCTCTCGAATGTGAATGGAGATACGCCTCTTCAAATGGCCATTCCAGCCGGCCATGGCGATTTTGTCCGACAATTTTGGAGCGGCAACGCTACTTTGCAAGCAAGAAAAATTCTGCAGCGCCCCAATCAGCAAGGAGATACGTGTGCCTCGTTGGCATGCTGTCACGGACATGTCGATATATTGGACTTTTTATTGACTACCTGTCAGGTACAGATTCGACACGAAGAAGTAGAATCCTGTCAATCCACCGTGGATCGAATGGATGGGGCATTGCAATCCGTGACGGACCCCCAGGTACGAGCCAGTTTCAAAGACAAGCAAACCAGGGTTCATGCTTGTTTGACCAAACTCAAGGATCGACTTGATCAGCAAGTGGCACAAGCGGCACAAGAGTTGATGTTACTTCAAGACAATAATGAGGGGAATCACGTCGTCAGCGCTACTAGTGGCACCAACAAAAAGAAGAAAAAGAAACGAAAATCGAAGGGGAACAGCAGCAACAACAAACAGACAACAATTAGTAAACAAGAAGAAATCTCAAAATCTGCAGATCAGGAGGAAGACTCTTTCTGTGTCGTTTCCAGATTGGAGGATGGAAGAGTTGCCGTGACGGTGAAACCGACGGCCTCCCAGGAAGATACCCCCATACTGCCCCAGGCATCACTACTACTACCCACAGCCTCGCCCCAAACCATGCTACGACAACGCATGAAAGAAAATCATGTGGACAAGGATGTCGATGCCGTCATGGATGCCCTGTGTTTGGACGTTTCCATGCTATTGTACACACCACATGGCATGGCGTTGAATCTGTCACCGTCACAATTGGATACCGTCGAACAAATTTTGCAAAAACAAAGTCAATCGGTACGCCGAGCCAGGGAGTTGCAACAGCGAATTCATTCCGTCGTCAGCAGCAGCGAGACGGATGATGACCAGGACAACAACAACAACAACAACAACAACGAGTGTACTGTCTAGCTGGTTAGTAGAATTGGTTTGGGCGACATCAGACAAATAGCAGTTGGGGAGGGGCAGCGAGGTCGAGAGTAACTGGTGTGATTTTTGTTACGAAGTGTGCTGATGCAAGGTAGTCTGCTTCTCTGTCGACGCCAACCAACAGACGAGCGAATTTAAGAGCCAGAATGGACTCGATTGAAATCAAACGGTGGTGACCGAAATTGGATCATCGTTCGTCGCCGCTTCCTTTCTTGCTTCTTGGACTCGACGGTACCTCGGCGGCGCGGGACAGTCCAGCTGACAGATTGTGCTGTGTCACATACACAATATTCCTAAAGTACTGAGTTTGCGGCGCGATACAACTACAAACGAAGCCTGCGGCTAGTCGAGTCGCCCTCCCAACAACCCCCTTCTTACTCAGCAGGCAGGTACCCTCCAATGCAAAGAGCGCACCAAGATCAGTCTTGGAGGGCTTCGAGATCAATCGCTCCAATGTGTTTTGTCGCAAGACCTTTACCGCTATCATTGACCTCGGGCATGTCTGGCGCTTAGACCAAGTGCAACAAAGTCTTCAGCGTTGGAATGGACAGCCAGAGGTACACAAACCCAACGAGGAATACGACGCTGAATTACGACAATTAGTTCGAAGCAAGTCCGGAGCTCGAGACATGGTCAAGCAGATGGGAACTCCCCAGCGCATCGAAGTTCTGCCAAGCCAAGAGTCCATCCATTCCTGATTTGTAAGTTTCCAGTCGATATTGATGTTGAAGCACCGGTTTCGCAAATTTCGCCGAGGGATCAATGTCCGGACGCAGACTGTAAGGATTGAATCAATCCCCGTGACTGATAATTGCGAAACAAGTTTACATGTCGAAACGATCTACTCTCAGGTGTATACATCATGACGAGAACCGTACATGGCATTGACAAACATGGACCGTGTTGGACAACATCAGCTACCAGTGTCTTGATGTTCGCCAATCTTACACCTTTGCAAACAAGACCATTGTCAGCGTCACTGTTTGCCGCCTCAGGAAAGACCTCAACCAAGAAAGAGATCATGCGAGAAGCGAGACGATCGTGTTTGGCGACATGCTATTAGGAGTGGGAATTCTTCCATACAGCTAACAACAATCATGCATGTCACGGCTTCGCGAAACTTCTGGCGAAAAGATCAGATGTTTATCAAGCTTGCGCGTCCCAGAATCAACAGGGAAAGAGGAGTCATATTATTTGGTGTGGAATGTTTTTGTGGCCGGTGAAGGATGAGCCTCGCACACTACGATAATTTGATCTACATCGCCATTTGGTGTTGGAAGGCTTGATCTCGGCCTCCTGCTCCCACGGATGAAGATGCTCCTCAAAACTTCGTCAGCCCCAGCAGGGAGAGCACACGAATCGAATCCGCGAGAATGCAATCTGACTAACTAAATTGGTATCATGCAGCCGATCCATGAAAAATTAGCAGGTAAGTGAAAGGGCCCGAAATCACCATTTACATGTAACTCTGCTTTATATTTGGGTTTCGATTTTATATTTAGGTTTCGGTTGGATATGTAGGTTTCGGCTTGATTTTACTAGTTACTTACCATAGTAATTTGGTTTCGGTTTTATATTTAGGTTTCGTTCTGATGTGCATATTTCAGGGCTTCCAAATTCCCATCATATGCAGCGCTACGGCATGTACATTCGTCCCACGGACAACCATGTTCATGGGCATATTTCAGGATGTCCAAATGACCCCTTTCTGCAGCCATAGAGCATGTGCCTTCATTCCATGGACAACCATTCTCGTGAGCATACTTTAGGACTTCCAAATGGCCATTGCTTGCAGCATTGGAGCACACGTCTCCATCCCATGGGCAACCTTCTTCGTGTAGATATTGGAGTATTTCCAAATGGCCATTCGTAGCAGCAAGTGCACATGCACCTTCCTCTGCGCCTTCATTCATCTTCATCTTCATCCCACGGGCACCCGTTTTCATGAGCATACTTTAGGACTGCCAAATGACCATTTTCAGCAGCACTTCTGCATGTGTGTCCATCCCATGGGCACCCTTTGTCATGTAGATATTGGAGCATTTCCAAATGACCATTGCTTGCAGCATTGGAGCACACGTCTGTATCCCATGGGCACCCTTCTTCGTGTAGATATTGGAGTATTTCCAAATGGCCATCTTCAGCAGCAAGTGCACATGCACCTTCCTCGTAGTCTTCATTCCATTCATCTTCACCCCACGGGCAGCCATTTTCATGAGCATACTTTAGAACTGCCAAATGGCCATTGTAGGCAGCACTCCAGCATGTGTGTCGATCCCATGGACATCCATTTTCATGTAGATATTGGAGTATTTCCAAATGGCCACTTCCAGCAGCATTGGAGCATGTGTATGCATCCCATGGGTACCCGTTTTCATGAGCATACTTTAGGACTTCCAGATGGCCACATTCTGCGGCTTCTTCGCATGTGTGTGCATCCCATGGGCAGCCAGTCTCATGTAGATATCGGAGTATTTCCAAATTGCAATTTCTAGCAGCCCATCTGCAGGTCCAAGAGTCCCAAGGACAGCCGTTTTCATGAGCATACTTTAGGATTTCCAAATGACCGTTTCCAGCAGCCACCCTGCATGTATTTTCACCCCTTGGACAGCCCTTCTCATGTAGATACTTGAGGACATGCAGATGGCCACGTTCTGCGGCTGCTTGGCATGTGTCTTCATCCCATGGAAACTCCTTTTCCCGGGCCCACTGAATAACTGGAATACTTCCAGCTCTGGCAGCTGATGTACAAACACTGTGTTGTCTTGCTTCTACTTCCATGTTGTCCGAATGGATACGCCAGTGTTCAGAGCGTGGCACAGAACAAAACACGGCTGAGTAGAACGTATCTGTGCTTTCTGCTTGACGGAGGCCTGGACAGACGCCTGCTTGCCACACTTGTGGTGGATTTTCCACGGAATTGCAGTAGTCTGTGTAGAGTTCCTTCATTTGCTTACTGACAGGAGCCACAAAGGCATGGTGCCCCATGCCCAAAAAGGGGAAAACGTTTTTGATCCAAACATCCGTTTGGTTCAGGAAAGCATGACTTGGCTTTGCCATGGCTGCCTTCTTTGGTGGCCGTGTGGTCATTGCTGCTACAACGTCTGTCTCTCCGTGACCTTCCTTTGTCTTTTGGAGATCGTTGGTGTCTTTCAAGTCTGTGGTAGTCTCGAGCGGCAGGTCCTCGCTCCCTGGTATTCCCTCTCAGGTATCACTCACGGCAGTGCGAATTGGCTAGTTGTCAAAAGGAGAGCTACGCTAGCTAGAGCGAGCGAGAGATCTTTGGACCAAGATTGAGAGGTCGACAATGGTGGATGGAGCGGTTGGAGTGGACGATGATCGTTGCTGGCGTTTTGTGATTGCCGTTGGATCTTCGTTGGCGTGTCTGGATCTTTCTGACGACGGTCATTCTTACGGTAGTAGGCATACGATGTAAGTTGAAGGAGAAGGGGAGAGCCTTACGCATTGTGTCCCAGAAACGACACCGAGCACTTTCTGTTAGAAGGATATATAGTGATGACCTCGCTAAATAGTTCCTACTATTTCACTGGGACTACTTCACGATTTGAGGTGAGGTCATTATGCCAGTGTCAGTACCGAAAAGTGACCAAGAGCGAGGCAACGTAACAACCGACAACCACCTTTGGCCTTTGGCCACATTCTACTCGCCACTCGATCACCCCTTCAAAATTCTGCGAGGAAGTGGCAACAATCACACCACTGTAGTTCTGGTCAGTCTTCCACCTTGGAAACAACTGTATTGTAGGAGGTTCATCATCATCAGTGGACCGACCCAGAGGCAGAGAAAGAGAAGGAGAGAAGAGAAAGAGGAGTTGTTTCAAACAATTGATTAGATTGCCATGCCGTCATCTAGTGGAGATGGCAATAACAACAGCAGCAGCAAGGGCGGGCTGTCTCTGAGTCGCCATGGCAAGGGTATTCAGAATACCCGACGAAGTGTGCGAGGCATTGGTGGTGGCAACCATGGAAGTAGCAAACGTATGAGCTTGGGCGAAGAGCTCTCGCGAATTGACAGCAAGCGAGGTGGTGGTAGCAACACTAGTCCGTTTGGAGGTGGAGGCGGTGGCGGTCGAAAGCCCACCATTGCCGATGATTTGAGCATTGACGAGACGTTTGTCAGTGCGTCCGATCCGCAACAGCAAGGAGGCAACAAGAGCGCTACCAACAATGGCGAAAGTCCCAAGAGCGTCTTGTTGGAAAGTGCTTCTTCGACTACAGGAGACAGTAGCAAGAACCAGGATTCGGCTGCCAATAAGATTTTTGAGATTTCCGAAAAGGTCGCTGCCATCAAATCCAAACGGCTGTTCAATAAAAAGGCACCCGTGCGACGAGCCAATACATTCCACGGCACTCCCCGTGGTCGTGGCGGTATGGACGATCTCTCGCGTTCCGAGCACGTTGTGGACCGTTCACCGCCTCCGCCAAAGGAGGACGAGCTGGGCTTGTCAAGGTCCGAACATGCCCCCCGAAGCAGCACGTCCATGAGAAAGACGGCAGCCAAGGCACAAGCACCCAGCATTCAAGGCATTTACAAGATTATTGACAGTATGGATACTACTACCAACGTGAGCAACACGACCGTGGCTCCCAACAGCAACAATAGTTCCCATGGACGTCGTCTTCCCCGACGAACCCGCACTGCTGGTGGAAACTTGGAAGGTAGCAATCGATTGGGATCCAGCATGCGTGGCATTAAAAACCTACTCGATAACAGCAAACACGGCGGTCTCGATGGCAGCAAACACAATGGCATGGCCAACGATGGCAGCGGCAAAGAAAAGATGGCGGCCAGTGGCGATGATAGTCAAGAAAACAACAATGCTGGTGCAGACGACGACGACAACAACAACAACAAAAAGGACGACTTTGGGACCAATCACAGTCGCAGTTTGCAGGGTATTCAAAAGTTGATTGGAACTATGAACAAAGACAAGGAAGGAGCACCGCCATCATCATCCTCGAAAGAGAAAAAGAGTACGCCTCCGGATCCTCCCAAACGATCCAGTCGCAGTTCCAGGAGATTGGTAGGTCGTCAGGATAGCTTGGGACGCAAGGCCGAGGAAGTCCCACCCGCCAAGAAAATGTCGGCAAACGAGGACGACCGGCGGCGTCGATCCTCGTCCGAAGCCAAGAAAAATGACAATAACAAAATGCCCACTTTAGATTTGGACGATGAAAACGACTATGATTCGGTCGCCACCCCCAAGACGGCTTCCGAGCCGCCTCCACCCCCACAAAAAGATGCTCCACCCCCACCGCAACGAAGAAATGTCGCTCGTCGACCACGAAACAACAATGTGCCCAGTCTGGCGCCCCATAAACCAGCCGCCACGGCAAGTCACAAATCGGCACCGGCCAAAGTCCCCGCCACGCCCTTGCGATCATCGCCCGCGGTTGTGGACCCGGCCGCTACACCCATTGTTAGTAGTACCCCGCAACAACTCACGACTCCACTACAGGCGACCATGCCCGTCATGCCCAATGCCGATTTTGACAGTTTGGCCACACCCAGTAGTGCGGGTAAGCCATCCGCACCCCCCATGGTGTCGCAATTAGCACCGCCGCCACCCCCCAAACGCAACATGGACCCGCGATGGAAACAACAACGAGGAGGACAAATAATGCCCATGGCAACACCCGGGCAGGCACCCAAGGCACCCGTCATGACCATGATTTCACCCGGTGGAATTGTCATTGAAGTCAATAGTAGTAAACAACAAACAAACAAAAAACGAGACACTGCTATTCCCGAACCCATGACACCGGCATCCGCATCACAAATGACACCGGGTGGGAGGCATCGCAACAATAATAATGTACTGCAAACTCCCGCATCCATTCGCTCGCGAAAGAGCCATGATGGAGATCATTCCTATCTCAATACACCGTCGGTACATTCCATGGGAGATATCAGTGAATTGACGCCGTGTACTACCTATGGATATGCCCGTGGTGGTGGAGAAACCCCTCGATCGCAGACGGTGCCTCGGACACCGTCTTTGTACCAGTCGCCGGGAGGAGTGATTAGTGAACTGACTCCAGGAGGGTACAGTGTTGGATTGTTGGGCGATGATGACTACCAAGGAAGCGAAGAAAAGGACGCAACAATGACGCCGTCGATTCCGTCTCGTGGTGGATTCATGAGTGAACTGACATCGGGGACCTTTAGTATTTTGCTCGAGGAACAATCGGAAGATGATGGTGCCGACATGACACCCAGTACGCCATCCTTGCATTCGCCTGCGGGTGTCGTCAGCGAATTGACTCCTGGAACCTACGGAACTGCGACCTATGGAATCAGTACGATCGGCGAAGACAGTAGTGGCGGAAGCAGGAGCAACATTGCACCCGTTCCGAGTACACCTTCCCTGCACAAAGACTCTGGCATTGTCAATACTTCTTCTGTCCCCATTCCAATCACCCCAACAATCCATTCCCCGGCGGGAATTGTCAGCGAGCTCTCGGGTGGCAGCGAACCAAGTTTCCACAGCCGAGGCCGGAACAATACTGGACTGAGCAATCTTTCGGGTCACTCGGGTGTCGTCAGTGAGTTGACCTACAGTCAAGCAAGTGGATCTACTGGACAGGTGGTTGGATAGAAACTAATAGTGGGGAATTTGGTCAGTGATTGTTGATACGGCTGGGGCAACCAGCCAGAAAGCCAAGCCGATAAAGAAAGCCATGTGATTAAAAAGCTAGCAGCCTTAGAGAACTTATTTCTTAGAATCAAAGGAAGCCTGAGCACTCACTAGCGTTTGCGCCTCTGCTATTCGCGCTATTTTGACAGAAGGCACTCCTCGTACCTCGTGTTTGCCGTCTAGCCCGGTGGGGGGGGGGGGGACTTCATTGCTGTTGGTTAATCTGGTACCGGTACATGAAAAATTGAAGTGCATGGCTTGATGACAGGAATAAAGCCAGTCCTCAATTGGGCAAGACAAGTCACCCCCACCGGAACCAGGAGACAGATCGTGCGTGTATTGTAGCAATAGTGGCAACGGCAGACTATGCCAAAAGCTGATTCAACTTTTCCTGAGCTTCGTTCACGGCATCTTCGCTAAGATTCATGTAAGGACAGACCCCAACTGCCTTCGCCAGCCATTTGATTGCTTCTTGTTTATCATTGTGCATACCACGGCCACCGTTTGCCAAAGCCATTCCCAAATAATATGCTGCCAAGTTTGATCCTTGGCCTGCTGCAATGGACACGTACATCATGCCCTTCTTCGGGCACTTGGGTGTACCATTTCCGCGCAAGTAGTTTGCACCCAATGATGCTGTAGCCCTCACATCACCAGCATCGTGTGCTCTCTGCATCCACTGAAATGCCAGATTCTTGTCCTGTTTCAAACCAAGCAAGCCTTTGTCGTAAAGTAATCCCACCCCCCACATAGAATAAGGATCTCCTTTTTGGGCCTTCTTCAACCAGTCCTTCTGCTTGACCTTTTCGTTCCATTTGGCAGCCAGGTCTCCATCAATGGCACCCGACTCCAGCAACGCCTCAATGATGTTTCGGTGCTGGACTGCTGGCAAGAGCTTGCTGCCCATCTTTTCATTGGTGATTGGTGACTTGAGATCCCCACAATGGGTGTGAAAGTGTGTCTCGATGCATTCCCGATCATACACACGGCCATCCTCCGCTGTAACAGGATCCCATGGCAAGTCCAAGCTGATGGGACAGATCAAATCATCTGCTACGGATTCCTTCGTGCGTTTCGCTTGATGTTCTTTGGCGTGGGTGTCTTTCGCGTGGACGTCTATTGCTTCGTTTTCTTTGTGACGGTTTTCTTTGGCTTGCTTTGCCCGTCGCAAACGATTTCGGAGGACTTCAGGAGTGCCTGAGGCTGAAAGCTCAGACTTTTTGCATTCCTGTTGGAGCTCTCCATGGGATATGCTGTCCAGATGAAACTTTCTGTTTGCGCAACAGGCACCGGTGGCAGTGGAGGCAATGGTGCTGTCATCATTGTCACGGTCTTTTTTGGGGATCTCAATCACAAGACCGGTGAGGTCATTGGAGGAACGAGAACGGGGCCGATGAGTGGCCCTGGCAGGAAGGAAGAGATGGCGGAACACGCAAAGAATCCGCTGGTACGAATATGTGAGCTGTGGATTGATGTGTGGCAAACGAATAGTTCTAGCCAAACCTTGATCGCCCGTTGCAGCTAAACTCACCATAGCAAATCAAATCGGCTGTTTGGCCTGACGGTGATACGGTGATACTTTTTGGGAGGATGCTCCTTCTGTGTTCTACTCTCTTTCACGCGGCCAACGATTGTGTTCCTATCCATTGTTGGAATTTCAACAGTGCCCCTTCAGCTTCACCGCAGGTTTGCACAACTGACCTAGATTTCGGTGCTCCAATCTCCACGATACGGTAACGTCTACTCTATGACAATACATAGAGTAGAGTGGTACATTTATTTAAACATGCAGTTTCGTTCAACATGTTATGGCACTACCGTAGAGACTGGACTACTTGCTCTTCACGAATCGAATGCTGGCTAAACCTGCCTCTTTTAACATGAAGCCGAAGCAGTGGGGCAAGATTCCTCGGTTGTGCACGTCGATGAACGGCTTGGCCACACCAACAAGATGAATGCCTCGCAGCTCAGTACCGCACAACAACTGTATCGACTCCATTGGGCACCTCAATACGATCATTATTCGTCGCCTACCAAGGTTTGGTTTCCAGATTGATTCGACAAGGTACCGAGGGAGGATGCGAATTCAATCATAAAGATATGTATCTATTGTCGACTTTTAAAAGTTTGGATCTACGAGCTGGCTAGCTCAATATATAGCTAGCCAATGGAGTCTTCTTGCCTTGCCCTTCTTGGCAGTGCCTCTTGGTCTGTCTCGTTCCAACGCGTCTATATACTTTGTGCATCATCACTACATCTATCAATGACGTGACGGACGTGGCACCGGACGTCGATTCGCACTGGGATGAGATGGACGCCTCGATTGAGTATTGCTGTTTTGATTCCCCCACAATACCAGTTGCAAACTCTCCAGACTCTCCTTGGGGTTCTCCAACAATTCCTTGGCTTCCTCCCACAGCTCGGGTCCAAACTCCATCAACCATCCACTGGTGGCACTCGGTAGGACATCGAGAAAGGGTAACATTTCTTCGGCAAAACTGACATAACTCATATTGGGCGAAACATGCTGTAATAGAGAGACGAAAGAAATGATATGTGAGCGGCCATCGTATACTAGTACAGTTGTAATGCCAACATTGTGATAGCGTTGTGTAACTCACCTGATAAAGCGCCATGATGAGTACGGTCTGGGCGGGTGCCCATACGACATCAAAGGCTTCTCCTAGAAACGGCAAGAGATAACTAAACGATCCGACTCCGTCAATGGTCAAACTGACCCCGAGTCGACGCCACCGTGTTTTGGGCAATTGCGTGCGGACCAGTGTCACCGGTGTAGGTCGTGGTCCCGTGGCATAATAAAAGGTTTGGACGCCAAACCGCGGTCCCTTGGCTATTTGCCAGTACTGTTGGAGTGTCGATTGTTGATTCCACCAGGCACACAGTTGGGTACGACCGTGACGGGTGCTGTTGTAGAGCAGGGTCATGAGGAGACCACTGCCGAGGACGGTGGCGAGGACAAACAAGACGGTTCCGACAACGACGGGAATCATGATTGGAAAAAAGAGAATGCAAAATCCAATGACGGCGGGAGAAATGACAATACAGGCCGTAGTCAAGGGGATCATAATGCCTCCAATGGCGGGAATCAAGAGCAACAAGGCTTGTTTCTTTTTGGCCGCATTGGGAATTTGAGGTTCCAATTTGCTCCAAACTTCTCGAACCAGATCTTCCACTTTATCGACGACAGTCAACCAGGCGCTCAAGGCTTGATGTGCCTTGACGATTTCCGTACGAGGAGGACCTCGTAGGGTACACTCGACTTGTAACGACAGACTGGATGTGTGGGCCATAGTAGACGTATTACTGCTGGTTGTGGTTCCTTGAGATCGCTGGCTATTGTTACTGACAACGAGTGCTCGTTGATGAATGGCTAGTGGAATGCTGATCACGGCCGTTTGATGAATGGGTAGTTCGTCAATATCATAGCTGCCTCGATAGACCGTCTTGTCGTCGCATTCGATTTGGACTCCCAACTGAGCGTGATACAGATGCGACAAGGGAGCTCCAATGGTGGATGGCGCGGATGATTGCCGTAGACTCACTCGCAGAGTCTGACCGACGGACCACAGGGTCACCTTGTTGCCAGAGCAGGTGGGAATCCTGGTAGGTTCGTCTTTGTTCGGGTTGGTAGGGACCAATTGAAGGGGACGCACTTGGAGAGATCCGTTCTTGGTCGAAGGAGCCTTCGTCTGAGCGAGGGCGGTACTGCTACTAGATGGTGCCATTGTCTTGCTTTTATTGGAAGTGATGTACTAGCTAGCAGCTCTCAACTCAGGGGCGCTACAGTATGGAGACACAGGGATGCCGCTGTGCCGCTGTCATTGTCGACGTGTCAACGAAACTTATTGGATCTTTCGCAGTCATGATCCGTTAGTGAATCGGCTCAAAACCCTAACTCTACCGCAGCTTACCGGTAGAGTGCATGTTGAAAAGGTGTGAACTTGAACGCACAATTTCTCTAATTTAATCAATATCCTTCCAGCTCTACTGTCTAGTAGACTGGCTATTTGAGTTGGTAAGAAGGCGCTGCCATCATCGCAAAAACAGGAAGGGTGTCAAAAGGTATTTTCGTTGACGGACAGACGACTCGAGTATCCACATCACGGTTCTTGATTGGGGATGTGTGACTCAAAATCAGATGGTTATCCGATCATCATCAGTGGCCAGGTGTACGAGGAACGAGGAACAATGGTCGTCTAGATGATGCAACTACAAAGGATAGGAAGTTAGGTCGAGAGATAAATGCAAGGAGCGACGGGATGGAGCAAATGAATGGACGGATGCAGGTCCATAGGTTTAGTAAGTGGGAAAGCCCTCCAGGGCCAACCATGCACTTCAGGAAGATAAATCGACGAGATCTATCTGTAGATGAAACTGCGAGAAGCAGAGATCGAAAGATCCTGGTATATGTATGCATATCGGAGCTCAGTCGTAGAGCTCACAATCTGAACAAGAGAGAAACGAAA